AGAATGCGTTCAATTCCATTGCGTTTTTTCTTATCGTTCATTCCGTTAACATTCCAGTTCCATAATTTTAAAGACATATTATTTTAAGTGTTTCTCTGAATTAAGTGTTGCTCTATAACTTTTCTGTCTCCTCTCCTTCTTCCTCCTCTTCGTCTTCTTCTATTTCTCCTCTACTCTGATCTTCCTCTTCACCTAATTCTAATTCTTCCCTCAATTTAAGTCCGCCTTCTGCACCTTTCGACTCTTCCTCTCCCGACTGAAGCTCTTTATATCTTCTTGTGAACTTTCCTATTTCCTCAGGGCTAGTCAGTCTTCTTTTAACTCCTTTATAAAAGAAAGAGACCCCTTCGGGAAATTCCCATCGGAAGTCAATCCTATTCTTTTTAAGTAATTGCACTAGTGGTTTATACGATTCTCTTCGTTTTAGCAGCCTTATGGGGATGTCTTTAAATATGATTATGTAGTGTCCATCAATATATAATCTCTTTTCCCTATTTCTTTGCAGAACCAGGTTCCTCATCTCCCTGTCTTTGAATGTAACTAAACAATCCCCTGGAAATTTCCTGGCTTTATTTGTTTTTATTTTCATTCTATACGCATTTATAATTGTCCTTGCCACGTCTTCCTCTTCCACTTCCATCCACTGTGCTATTTCCTTCACTAATCTTTCTTTTATATTCTCATTTTGCACTTCTGGGATTTGCCTCAGTCTTAAATTAATGTCCCTCTGTTTTAGATCATTCATTGCGATGGAGTCTTTAATTTCTTCCTGTATTTTGTTTAAATCTGCTATCTCGTTCCTCATTCTTTCTTCTTCTCGCTTCATTTCTTTCATTTCCTGCTTTGCCTTTTTTAGTCCCTCATCCACTCTTTTTGAAACCTCTTTAATCTGTCCTTTTAGCTCACTTACTGTCTCTTCAATCTTTTTATCCATTTTTCCAATTTTATTGTCCACCTGTTCCAATTTTGTTTCCAAGTTTTTTTCGCTTTGTTTTATTTCTGCGAACATCCTCAATATTTCTGTTCTAAATTCTGTTTCTTGCTTTGAAGCTCTCCTATCAGTTGGGGCACCTCCCTCTGCCCCTTTCTTTTGAGTATGTGACATTGTCCTTAAGCCTCAGGAATTCCTTTATACCGTTAAGTGTATTCCTTATAGTTAGACTATTCAGCTTTCAGTTGACCCCCAAGAGGTATTGGCCCCCCGGGATAATATAAACCTTCTTATATATTAACAACCTATAATGACAAGTATCACTTTACCAAAAATAAAGAGAAGGCCACCATACCCCACTTCTTTACAAATTCTCACAATGCCTGATCTTATACAATGTACTTCGATATTTTCCCCTCCTTCCAGAGGTTTTTAAGAAAGTTGGTTGGGCCCCCTTCAAAATGATGTCCTGATTACACTCTTCTTACCACAATTCGGGCTCGTCCAACCACTCTTTAACAACCACTTGACCTATGAGGATCTGAGTCCCAAAGTAGTCTTTTCCAAAATTAAGGTGCAATATTTAATTCAATCCACCAGGAGGAGTCAGTCCTTTCACCTTGCAGAGCAGAGTTCTTAGATATTTAGAAAATTGGTTAATTAGTCTTTCCTGTTTGCCTAGTTTTCACGTTGTTCTTCCCCCGTTCCTACCTCTTTCCGTGGCCCCAATGTTAGATCCAAAAAAAAATAAAAAATAAAAAGACGTAACAGATGTAACAGATAAAGGAAGCCCCGGAACGGCGATACAATAATTCAAAATGTCCAGAGTGTGTTTTTCTTCCCTTTCCCCGGAGTTTTCTTAAGAGCCACTTAACATATCGTCTCACAAAAGTCTTAATAGGAGTCCTCTTAACAGTAATCTCCTTTGTCCTCTTTATAGTTCACTCTTTGTAGTTCACTGTCTCCGTTGCAGTAACGACTGAGTTTTTCCCTAATGCCGCACTTCTCTGCCCTCCCTCGATTGTTTCCCTTTCCCCTCTGCAGTCGGGGAAGGTTTAGTTTCTAAATGAGTCAGTGGGGGGGACGGACACTGTAACCGCTAGCAGCAACTTACTTTCTCCTTCGGCTCTGCAAACCACGCTGCGTCTTATTCCACTGAAGACAAACTGACGCTGAACTCGACTGTTTCTCTTTCTGCTCAGATACTTCCTTGTCCTCTCCACTCCACTGTTTCCAGCACTCCTTCTCAGTATCTGAGTTTCTTTGTATCGAGAGCAAGGCGCTTAGCCTGCAGGCTCGGGGCTTCGCTAATTCGCCGCTGTAATGGCTGCCCAATTAGCCGCCGCTCGTTCCGTCGCTCTCTTCGCCTTTATACAAAGGCTACCTGACGACCAGACGAACGACACCTCGGCGCTGCTGGGCACCTAGACCTCTGGATACCCTCCAGAGGGTTAGCGGGAGTTTTGTCGCCCTCAAAAACTCCCAAATCGGCCGAAAAGCTAGAGCTCTCTCCGGAGAGACAAACCCTCGCCTGCAACCGGATCCGCGCCCTACCGGAAGTCTCTTTATGCATTTGGATCTTAATTTTCAGCTTACATTTTAGTGGGGTGGGACCTGTGTATATAGAGATACATACATATAGTTTATTTTAGGTTGTTCATTTTTGTAAGTTGCTTTGAGTTTCTTTTTTCTTTTTTAAAAAGCAACTAATAATAATAAAGTGTGCCTGGTGCCACGCAGTTTTTCATCTTGTTTATAAAAACAAATTAGTGAGATGATGCTTGCATCACATATACTATAACTTAATAGCCTTGGGTCCTACTTGTACACTGCCAGCTTGCAAAACTGGAGCAGATTATTGAAATCAAGGTGACTTGCTGAATTGAATACTTTTATTCTGGTTGCAAAATTTGCAGGGCCTTGTATTTTTTCTTTAAAATTTGAAACCCTTCGAAAATGAAAACAAGAATGATGAAAAAGGAAGCACAATGTATTTTAAAAGGTAACTAGTCTAGGATGTAACACTTGCACAATAGATATGATTGCATCATGCAGTTTGGTTTCACTTTTTGTTCTTCCAAACATGCAAATAATGCAACCGGATCCTCCATATAAAAGTTCTGTTGCCTGCTGCCACAGTGTGCCTTGAATGTCTGCTATTTTTTCAGTATTGTTGCATTGCATATGAACTCTTTTGGCAAGATATTGAGTGTTTGGCATGCTTATAGCCTAGAATGGGTTCCACACAGATTTCTCTTGTGAAGTGACTTCCCCAAAGTCATCCTGCATGAGAAAAACAGTGACAGTAATCTGCCAAAAATAACAGAGAACATCCATCGAGAATAAGCTTACCACCAGCCCCCTTCCCACTTAGTTTCCCCTTGTATTCTTCCAGTTCAGTACCCTTAGTTAATCCCCATCTTTTTATCTTTTTCACACTCACTCTCTTGTTGTCACTCAGTTGTTTCTCAAATGCCTTGGTACTTGTACATTTTGGCTCCTGAATGCCGAAAACCAAGAAGTAAGTGTTCCGGTTTTTGAACGTTCTTTGGAAGCCAAATGTCTGGCCCGGCTTCTGATTGAGTGCAGGAAGCTCCTGCAGCAAATTAGAAGCTGCACCTTGGTTTTCACACGGTTCCGGGAGTCAAACAGACTCCTGGAACGGATTAAGGTTGACAACCAAAGTACCTGTACCACTGTACTTGGCTAACCAGGTCCCTTTAGAAAGCATGCCTCAGGTCCTGATTGTTTTAATTTGCTGTGCACTGAACAATTCAGAAGAGGCCATTAAAAAAGCAAACTCAAAAACTCCTCCACTGCTTCTGCTTCTGTTTATCTCTAGATTATTATCCCTGTGGTCAGGGTCCTGTTGCTTTAAAAAAAACCAGTGCAAAGCCTCTGTTGACTTTTAGGTCCCAAATACTGCAGGTTATCAGTATTGAATTTTACAGTGCAGAACCTCCTACTCACTTAAGTTTCAGATTCAGCCATTTTGCAGTTTGCCATACAGACCATATTGGTTCACTGTGACCTCTGTTTTATAGTAAAAAATACCCACCTGTTCTCTTCCCATTGTCACAGTAACTTATCACAGAATGATTTTCAGCCTTCTGTTTGTAGTGAAGTTGGGAGTAAAGTTGTACAGGTGTTGGATGACCTGTTTCTGAAAGGAAGATCAATACCAAGCAAACCCACTACACACAGTGACCCAGTGTTAATCTGTTAAAGCTGTATTGAGCCTGCCTGGACGTCTTAAGAACAGTTGCAGCATGTGCTTCAGTTTGTCCTAGCCAAAGTATTAATATACCCGTCAAATAATTGGCCTTTCTAACCCAGCATTACCCCCTTTGACTGACTGGGGTTCTCTAAGCCTAAAGCAGAGATATTTCTTAGCTCTGCCCTGCTATTTTTTCAAAAATAATAGCTCAAAATGCATAGGGCATTGGATTTGGAAGGGGCAGTAGCAAAGTACTAGAGCATATGCGTCATATGCAGATGATCCCAAATTCTATCACCAGAGTCTTCAGTTAAATGGGCAGAACAAAAACCTATCCAGGAGACTACATAGAGCGGCTATTGGTCAAAATAAACCATGAGTGGAGGCTCAGAGGCTGAATGCCTGACTGTCTGGTCCTTGGGACTCTTCCCAGTCCATGCCTTTTGGCAGCCCTTGGGTGCTTTTGCCCAACTGCAATATGTCCTTGATGTGATCATGCCTCTTGCATGCCTGGGTGAGGTAAGTTGTGGGGTATGTGCACCTGAGTGTATGGAAACCTCTTGGTTTTGCATAGCTAAGTCACACCTGTTGCCCCATCCACTTCTTGCCTCTGGCATCACCCACCCTTGGCATGCAAACCATCACTTGATGCTGCAGTAATCTTGTGCTGGGCGAAATGTAACAAGAAGCCAAGTCTTTTCTTATTCACAATTTTTATTATTAATAGGTGTTGTTCCCTTGAACTTCCGTGCGCTTTCTTCCTTTTTAAAGCTTTCTTCTGCATTTCTCTTTTGTCTCCACCACAGGCAACATTGAGCATGTGAATTAACCCAAGGAAACTTGAGTTCCAGTATGTGGTATATTATGCAGAGCATTCAGAGTAAATATTCTTTGTCGGAGCGCTTGATCCGGACTATTGCAGCCATCCGATCCTTCCCGCATGACAATGTCGAAGACCTTATCAGGAGGGTATGTTGGAAGACTACAGAGACGTGTTAGCTCTGGAAGTTGTGTTTTGGAATCTCCAAAAAACCTCTGTGTGTCTTGGTTCAGTTATATGGCTCAGCTACAGTCCTAGGCAGGATTTCCTTTGGGCTGCTGTTTGTTTCACTTTTAAACCAGGGTTAATGAGTTTAAGAGGTGGGGACCAATCCTGTGCATCCACGGTAACATATGGTGCATCTTTCTGCAAACTGCCTTCGGGGTGAGGGAGAGAGAGACACGGCTTCATTAGTGTAACAATTTGTTTCCCCTCTGGGATGGGACGGTAACCATTCATTTTATACTTCTATAAAAGTAAAGGAATGCACTTGAGGCCATAATAATAATAATAATAATAATAATAATAATAATAATAATTTATTGTTTGTGCCCCGCCCATCAGGCTGGGTTTCCCCAGCTCAGGGGTCTGCAACCCGCGGCTCCGGAGCCGCATGTGGCTCTTTTACACCTTTGCCATGGCTCCTGGGCGGATACTAGCGAGGGGAGGAGGAGCATTGTGCGCCCCGACACTCCCCACTGTGGCAGGCGCTGTACTGGCTGTGACGTCGCATGGGGGCGGTGCGTGCGTTAGTCACACACCGTCCCGACGTCACCTTCCCGCCCGCCCGCTACATTGTAAGGGGCATGTACGCTGGTCACTGTTTTGAAGGGGAGTGAAGAACACACACACAAAAAAAGGTAACTTGTTAATTTAATGTTTATTTCTATGAGGAGGAGTAATTCTGAGGGGTCAAACAAAGAAATAATAAAAAAGTGACAAAAAAGTTATTTTTATAATGACGAGTTTTGCGGCTCCCAGTTTTTTTTTCTTCGGAAACGGGTCCAAGTGGCTCTTTTTGTCTTAAAGGTTGCAGACCCCTGCCCCAGCCACTCTGGGCGGCTTCCACAAAGACCAAAAATACACTAAGATAGGGTGGCATTAACCTGCTTCCTGTTCCTAGTGAACCTAGAGCAGAACAGCACTGTCGGGGAATGGCCAGCATGGGCTGCTTTTGCTGCATTAGAGGAGAAAGATCTCCTTACTTCCTTTTAACTTCTATTTCCCCCTGCTTTTCTCAAGCAGGCCAGAACAAATGTGCTGTGCTGTAACTGACCACACAGATACCAGTGGTTGAGCATGTAATAGACACTTGAACTGAAGTTGCGCTCTGTGAAGTATGCATTATGTCATACAGCCAAGATAGCCCAGATCTTAATCATCTGTATATTGTGGCCACTGCTGTATTTTGGACTACAACCGTAGGGATAGGAATCCTCCTTTCTGATGGGTGAGGTTATGTCAGTTGTGCCTGCTTGCTAACCTGCCCTTGATACATCTTAAGTGTAAATCTAAACTACTGAATATTTTTAGAGTGTATGTACAGCAGACAGCTTACAGTGAGTAGAGGCAAGTTTGGAAGAACATTAAAACAATTTTACTGGCCGGATAGCTGTTCCTTGTTGCCCACAAATCTGGGGGAGTCAAGAGGTGATCCATGTGGATTTTGGCTCTCTAAAGGAGAAGGGAGGATAGATGTTAATTTTAGTCTCAGTGTTAAATAGTATTGAATAGTGTTCCTCAGGCCAGTTTAAATGTGACATTTCTGATATTCAAAAGAATATGTAGTCAGTCTTTAGCTCCAAAGGGCAGTGCTAAGACTACTTCAGTTTCTGATTTCTCAGCACTTGTAGTCACAGAGCTCCACATTAGGTTTGATTGATGCTGCCAACTGCTTTGCTATATTAATTCCCAGGTACTTAGTCTGCCAGAGCCCATTAAATGTACTATAAGTCAGCCTGTTGGCCAAAGAGCCCATGGAAGCTGATACGGTTCTTGATGTTCGTTTGCTATCCTCCTTCTTCCTCTCCCTGCTGTTAAATAAAATATAAGATAGTAATCTTTCCAGAATGCATACGGTAACAGAGTGTTGTACATAAATAAAAATAGCTAGAGGCTTGGGCCTGAATCTGTTTGGTAAGACAGAAACACAAGGGAAGGGAAAAGAAGAGGGAGGCCTGTTTGGAGACGCCAGAGTTAAGAGATTAGCTTTTTAAAGCAGGTGTTTGAAAATACAGGTGGTGACCATTTTAGGCAAGTTCAATTTACATGTGACCACCGATGTGTGGGTCCTTTTGGACCCAGAATAGGACAGAATTGGGACAGAGTGGGCTTATGCATGTGGGGGCCAGGAACAGAACCCCCGTGCAAAACAGTTGTCTTCTGTATATTATAATTCTCTCTGGGAGAGAAGAGGGAAAGCAAGTTTTGGCTGAAGGCTGGGGTCAGCTGATCACTTGACTATGGCTTCTCAATATACCATACATCTGAAGTACACAGAAGAAAAACCCTTTAGGTTTAATTGTCACTCAGTTCCCCTGAGTACAACCTGTGTTGCTAGCAATAAAATCCATGTCATTAAATATGAGCAATCCATACAGTTCCTTGTGACATGAGGAGACCCCAAGATGTTAATGGAAACAGGCCACAGTCTGAACCTGAGCTCCTTGTCTCATTGGCTGTTCTCCATAGTAGAGTCTAAAGAGGAAAGAAGATGCCGTTCTTTACTTTCCCAGCTTCCTCAAGTAAATGGAGCAGGCCTTGCGGGAGGCAATTTCTCTCCCATTTTTTAGCCGCCTTTGAAATGCTACGGCAATAAATAAATAGCTGTGAGAGTAATAAATATGAAGAGACTGATATGGATTTGGGGTTTAGATTTTTGGCTTAAATCACAGAGACGCACCATAAATATGAAGTACCCCAATCGCTTGCTATCAGATGGCAAATGTGTACAGTGGTACCTCGGGTTACGAACGTAATTTGTTCTGGAGGTCTGTTCTTAACCTGAAACTGTTCTTAACCTGAAGCACCACTTTAGCTAATGGGGTCTCCTGCTGCTGCCACACCGCCGGAGCACGATTTCTGTTCTCATCCTGAAGCAAAGTTCTTAACCCGAGGTACTATTTCAGGGTTAGCGGAGTCTGTAACCTGAAGCGTATGTAACCTGAAGCCTGTGTAACCCGAGGTACCACTGTATTGCAATAGTTATTCATGATCCACTGAGATCAGAAATAAATAAGCTGGCAGAACCTCTCTTACTGTGCTTTCCCGATCTGTGTTCTTCCAGGGAGCAGATGTTAACTGTATGCACGGTACCCTGAAGCCATTGCACTGTGCTTGCATGGTTGCTGACGCCGACTGCATTGAGCTGCTCTTGGAAAAAGGAGCTGAGGTAAGAAGAGCCTATTTAAGAACAGATCCAGCAAACCTACTCATATATGGCAGATGTGAGGGGGTTTGTAGAGCACTTCTGAATGTTCAAAGGGGTTCTTATATGTTATCCTTATGATAGACCACACACACACACACACACACACACCCTGATCACAGTATTACATACCGCACAACTAGATTGAGACATATTCCTTTAGATGCAAGAGCTTGGAGGGGGGAAACAGGGTTTTGTGTGTTTTCAAAGCCTTCTGGGGGCTGAGGTCGAGTGGTAAGGAAATGTGCCATTTTGGGAATCATAGGGTCAAGCCCTCTTGGGCATAGTGAATGGCTTGCACAGTTGTTGGGATCCTGACCGTTATTTTGAATAGGTGGCTGGAGTTTAGCTCTCTGGCTCAAAAATTATTTGCCTGATTGATCGACATGGCCCAGTTTAGTCCTGTGCCAGTTTGATCATCTGTCGAATCATGGGCAGTCTGGTTTTTTGGGGGGTTTGCTGCCCCTCAGTAATAGTCATATTCTCTTGTGTGTGTGTGCTTCAGCATTGCCTTTAATTCTGACGAAAGTTTTTACAGGTAAGAAAACGACAAGGCCCCAAGACCAAATGTGTCATCGTCATCATCATCATCATCCTGGGTTTTAGAATTCCTAAAATGAGATTATAAAAATAAGATTATCAAATCTCAGTGGCTTTTAGGTTTGGAACCAAACAGCTGTCTATGAATAGAAGGGCTCCTTCTGTCCACAGAAGGCTTTTATTTATTTAATTTATAAAATTTATACACCACTTGAATGTAAAAAACAAAAACAAAAAACCCCACAAAAATCCCAGTTCAGGGATCCTGGTGGTAAAGTAAATAGATTTTCTTCCATTTCCCCCTGCAGCAACCCCCTGTCCCCTTACTGTTCGCTCTGGTGTTACATCATTTCAGAGCAGACATTTGAAGGGCACAAGGGGAATATTCCTCTGCCTTCTGCTGCCAGGAAGAAAGTCTGGATCCAAGTTAAGTTCTCAAGGAATTAGTGAAAGTTGCCATCCTCTTACAGAGCTCAGGGCCTGGAGAACATAGTAAACTTGCCTGTGCTGGATTACAACAAGCCTTCATCTCCTCCAGCATTTTTCTTTGACGGTGGTTAGTTAAATAGCATCCCTCCTGAATCCCTGTTGTGCACTGCTTAGAAACTGCAGTGACGGAATTATTTAAATAAATATTGGCCCCTGGAATCTCACACACAGAGCAAGATGGGAGATGGTCGTTTCCTTTCCGTTTGCTGTTACTAAAAAATAAGGGCCAGAGCAGCAGCATGATACAGTGGTACCTCGGGTTACGAACGTAATTTGTTCTGGAGGTCTGTTCTTAACCTGAAACTGTTCTTAACCTGAAGCACCACTTTAGCTAATGGGGCCTCCTGCTGCCACTGCGCCGCTGCTGCACAATTTCTGTTCTCATCCTGAAGCAAAGTTCTTAACCTGAGGTACTATTTCTGGGTTAGCGGAGTCTGTAACCTGAAGCATATGTAACCCGAGGTACCACTGTACTTGAGAGTTTTCTTTTGAGATCTGCTTCAGGGGAAACTCCTTGAATGGGTCCGGTATTAGAGTGAGGATCATGGGACAAGTGTTTTGGCTGATGGGGATTGCAGTGGAATTATTCCACTACCCATCTATCTTAGCCAGGTTTTGGTTCATTTTCCTCTTGCTGATAATAAATTCCAAACACCTGAATAATCCTGTCTCTGCTTTTTCAGGTCAATGCCCTTGATGGCTACAACCGAACAGCACTTCACTATGCAGCGGAAAAGGACGAGACCTGCGTAGAGATCCTGTTAGAATATGGGGCAAATCCCAATGCTCTGGACGGCAACAAGGACACGCCACTGCATTGGGCCGCCTTCAAGAACAATGCTGAATGTGTCCGAACACTCTTAGAAAGCGGCGCCTTTGTCAATGCTCTGGATTACAACAACGACACCCCCCTGAGCTGGGCAGCGATGAAGGGAAACCTGGAGAGTGTAAGCATCCTTCTGGAATACGGGGCAGAGGTCCGGGTGGTCAATATGAAGGGGCAGACTCCGATTTCGAGGTTGGTTGCCCTGCTGGTCAGAGGACTCGGCACCGAGAGGGAAGACTCCTGCTTCGATCTCCTCCACAGAGCCGTAGGACACTTTGAGTTGCGGAAGAACGGCACGATGCCCCGCGAAGTCACGCGGGATCAGCAACTCTGCGAAAAGCTCACCACCCTGTGCTCCGCCCCGGGCACCTTAAAGACGCTGTCGCGCTATGCTGTGCGCCGCAGCCTGGGAGTCCAGTTCCTGCCTGATGCAGTGAAGGAGCTGCCTCTGCCAGAATCTCTGAAAGAGTATGTGTTGCTTAAATGACAGCTAAAGCCTCGCAAGGCTCTGTTAAGAGCTCACTTTGGTTGACTTACTGTGCAGCTCCTTTCCTGGTGCTTTCAACTGACTGTAGCAGTGATATGAAGTAGTTTTTTTTCAGATCAGTGTGTAACCGCACAGGGGATACTGGTTCTGACATTGGCTGGTGGTTTCCCTTAGTTTCTCATTTTTCCCCCTTCTTTTCTTCACTGAGAGAGGCTGGAAGGTGTAATGTCTGGTTCTTGAGAAAGAACCCTGCTCTTCGCCTCCTGCAGCAGCTCTTCCCTGAATTCCTAGATCTGATTTCTCCTGAGAATCTTTCGCACAAAGGGAAGGTGGAGCTACGTATCAGGCTGAAGGAGGAGGTGGTGAGGAAGGCACAAAAGCCGAATTATTGGTGACCTTCCTGCTTCTGGCTTTACACTCTTGAGTCAGCAGGCCTGTCTTGCCATTTCATTTTCTGCTGCAAGGTAAAGTGGCTTGATGGATTGGAACAATGGCAGCCCTTCTCTGTTACACTGCACCCTTTGCGTCTCTCCTATCCACTCATCAGATTGGCAGGAGAGGGAGAATTCTCTCCAAAGTAGTGGATCATGTTTTGATACTTTGGCCAGATCTTCATGTGCAGCAGAATGAAATTCCACCACAAATCCCAAGGTGGTAGTGGACTGTCTCACTTCAGACTGTAGGTGGAGAATATGATTTGTGAATGGCCCTTGGTTGGGAGTCAGGTTGAGGAACCAAACCCCTGCAAGTAGAAAGCAAACGCCTCAGGACAACAAGTTCTTCAGCAGTCCTTTATTTGCTGTCCGAATGTAAAGTGATAATGTAAGCAAAAGCAGTGTGCAGGTTCAAACCGACACTCTGAGATGATAATCTTCCTTTCAATCATGTTCTCCTGCATGTTTAGATCCACCCTTCATCGGGGAAGGGTTCAGCTGAGCTCCAGAAAGCAGGCCAGTCATGCTAAATCACAGTGAGTTTTTTCTTTAAAAAGTCAAGTAGCAAGATAGGTACAAGAAGTACATGTGTGAGATTTGTACCCTGAATGATAAGGAAGTTGGTTGCCGTCTACATAGTGTGCTCGTGTATCTTATTTATGGCTTTAGAGCTTAGTAAGCATATTCTTCAGTCTCCTTGCAGTTTGAAAGTGGGTCTCAGCGCCCTGTGTTGAGCCTCATTGAACTACAGTTCCCATCATCCCTGGCCATGCTTGCTGAGGCTGATGAGAATTGTAGTTCAGCAACATCTGGAGGGTCATAGGTTTATAGCTGTTCAGTTAATTTCTGGTTTGCTGTCACATTACTCAATTTCAGCTGTGCTTTACTGTGTTTTCCTTAATTAGCAACACAGTGTTCACGGGGTAGGGGGTATTTTAGTACTTTAAACACTGCTGCATTCAAAAAAACCTCTAAAGGTTTCAAGGTGTTTCCATCCAACACAAGTCCCTTTAGTGCCCAAGCAACAGTAAAACTTTATTACTACCTGCAGCTATGAATCCTGCATTTATTTACAGCAAATTGGTTAGAGGACAGAAGCAACATCTGAGCCCACGTGCTGTCGCAAATCTCCCAAGGTTTTGGACCAGCTTTTGTTTGCTCAGTCCAGTTCTTAAACTCCGATAGCTGACACACAGGGTTTTCCCTGATTGTAAAATTATAGCTATATTTCAATTTACACTCTAGGATAACCTAATTTCCTTAGATCACGGGGAAGGATGGATAGCCCAGTGATACTGTTGCCTGAAGGCCCAGCTCCTTCTACTTTCAGCCAAGGCTTAAAAATGAAATGAATTTTTTCTGAGGATAGGAGATGCTTCTAGGATTCCCTTACATCCCTCAGGATATCGCTGTTGGTTGGGTAGGGAGTGTGAACTAATTCTGAGCAGTGAATGTATCCAACTGGGCACCGTAAATTTTCAAGGCAGTGTGGGATTGCTCTAATCACTTGGTAAAATGAACAGTGTCCTAAGCCATGAGTCGGGTGGTTAAAAGGCTGTTTCATATAAGGAGAGCCATAACCTTATATGGAGATGTAGTTCTTTCCATTCACAGGCAATCCAGAAACATTGCTCCATACTTTTAAGAACAACCAAAATCATGTCTTCCTTATAACAGTGGCAATGCAGTTGCCATTCACTCTGGGAACACCTCTCTCCCATTGAGTTAAGCCTACCTGAGTACCTGCTGGACAGTGAGAAGCCACATATTGGGAGGAACAAATCATGCCATGAGCTCAAAATCCCCTTTGCCCAAGTGTTTGGTTGCTATGGAGGAAGAAGGTTCGTTAGGTGAGCAAATAACTTGTGTGGAGTATTAAAAGTTTACTAATTAAAAATGGTGGTGTAGAAGCAATTTATTTTGCGGTGTGTTTTCATTGTGAGAGTGTCATGCTGCTGGTCTCCTGCTATTTCCTCTTGCCATCTCTCCAGCAGATAGCTGTCAGATTGCCGCACCACCACGAACCCAGAAGTCTTTCTGGTGTACACAGTATGGCATAATACAGCAACTAACCTGGATTCTATTTAATGTGGAGTGGGTTTTGCCAAAGGAAGAGGATGACAACATCAAACACTTCCCTTTTCAGTAAGGATAAGTAGCTGGGAAGAAATGTATACAAACAGTTCCTGCCTCTATCATGTTTTGGAGTGATTTTTTTTAACTGTGCATCTAACACCACTGCCAGTGAAACATTTCCCTGAGTTTTATTGTCAGTTTTGTAAGTTTATTAAAGGTAATGGGACCCCTGACCATTAGGTCCAGTCGTGGCCGACTCTGGGGTTGTGGTGCTCATCTCGCTTTACTGGCCAAGGGAGCCGGCGTACAGCTCCCGGGTCATGAGGCCAGCATGACTAAGCCGCTTCTGGCGAACCAGAGCAGCGCACGGAAACGCCATTTACCTTCCTGCCGGAGCGGTACCTATTTATCTACTTGCACTTTGATGTGCTTTCGAACTGCTAGGTTGGCAGGAGCAGGGACCGAGCATCGGGAGCTCACCCCGTCATGGGGATTCGAATCGCCGACCTTCTGATTGGCAAATCCTAGGCTCTGTGGTTTAACCCAGGTGATAGCCAGGTGCAAAATGCGCCTGGCAAGTTTTGAATGCTGGGTGCCAGTTGGCTGCTTGGTTTTTTAAAATCTCCCATACCTGCAGTCCAACTCCCCCTGCATTGTGCATGTTACTGAAGAAGGAAAAAAAGATGGTGTTGAAATGGCAGATCCAAACAGCAACCTTTAGTGAAACAGTTCCCATTTTATTTTCAGCATTTGGAAGAGCTTGAATCACAAAGCTATAATTTACCCCAGCTGTGGGTTCTGGGTAGCTGCCACTGTTCAGAGGAGAGGGCCTGATAGCAAAATAATATATTCAGTCCAGTCCAGATTTCAACATGATGAACGTAAGCTGAAATGACCATTCCTGTTTGAAATCCCCACTCCACCCTCAGACAGAGGGCCACCTAACCTTATAAGCACCAGTAAAGCAGAAGAAAAAGTAGACCTGGTGCCTGAATAGAAGACCACCAGGAGCCCCATGTCAGCGGTCTTGAGCTTTCTAAAAGGAAGAGTAGAATATAATAACATACATTTCCCTTTAACTCATTCATTCACATACTGCAGATATGGCACTAGATGACATGGCACTAGATGACATTTGGTGTTGCCTCCTCCATTTATGGCAGGCATGCAGTCCCAGTCATTACACAAAACACTAGATGAGACAGCTGCATGCTAAACTGGGGAAGGGGACTGAAAAAAATAAATACTTTGCTTTAGAGGTCTCCTTAAGTGTCAGAACTAAAAGGGAGAGCTGCTAGCTGTTCACAGGGCGCCTTCTCCGGATACTCTCTTGCGAGTGATATGTTCTATTTGAGCTGTCTCAGAGGTATCCAACTCAATCTTGTACTTGGCAAGAATCTTCAAGATGGGACGAAGCTTCAGCCACCACTGTGTTCTGGGGATGCGGTGCCTGTTGGAAAGAGAGAGAGATCATGAGCGTTTCAGGACACACCTAAGAACAATCAGAAGAGCCTTGTTGGAGCAATTCAAAGGCCCATCGTAGTCCAGCCTATGGAAAGCCTTGAAGCACAATTGATTCCATGGCTCTGACACAATCGTTCATTTTGCAAAATGGCTCAGCCTTGGGGAGTCTTTAGCAACCACTTCTGCATTATTATTTTTAGCGAGGTTCTTGGGCTTCTAACAGATATATTGTGGATTGCAGATTACCGTGACTGCAGGTGCAGATTCTGGCTCACTTACTGACCTGAGTTTACAACACAGAGGAGACACTTACTCAAAATCGGTCTGCTCTTTGAGTTCGGAGAGGGGCTGGAATACAAGGGCCCGTCTGCGCATGCCCAGGAGGCAAGCTGAATCAGGGCTGTTGGCAAAGATGCGACCTGAAAAAAGAAACCGTGGGAAATGCTCATCAAATTCATTATCTGGAAAAATGAGGACTTGGCGTTTTTCTTGCTTAATATTCTTAGATACCCTGGAAAGATTTTATTCTGGAATGCAGACTAAACATTAATAAATAGTTCAGTAAAGCAGTAATAATACTCTCAAGGAAATCTTCTGGAATTTAATATCTGGCTGTAATTTATGCCTGTTCATGTGAAAGAGATTGGTGGCAAAAAGTAAGTTACAAGTTAAATTCAACTATTTGTCTACAGTTAAAATGCATAAGCTTCCGTTAATCATAATAGTCCTTGACTACTCTTGAACATAATTTCTTAGGGTGGTGAGCAATTGACAATAAAATTAAAACGATGGCAAAATCTGTACTGGTTTTATACTGGGGGGGGGGCAGACACACCCCTCCCCCACAATGTGCTTTTAATGTATTATGTAGCCCTGGGAAAAGAGTGAATTTGCCAGATTTCCCCAAGTATTAGGATGCATGTAGGATTGCTACTATTTGGGAATGGTTCAACTGTGTGAGATGAGAAGATTAAGAAGAAATGTGAATTTATAAAATTTTAAAGAACATAGTAAAGTATCATGTCAGGAGAGATCTTAACATACTATGTCAAAATCCATGTTTGTGAGCAGATATGCAGTATAGCCAGAGTGTTCTGGGTAATGTTGTATTAGTTATCACTGCTGAATTTATTGTGTTTAAGTTTTTTAAAAAATACTGATGATTGTTTACTGTTTTATTTTGTTTGTATTTTTATCAATGCCACAGTGGGTGATAGCTAGCTGAAACCATTCTCAGAATAGATCAACTGAACTCAATAGGCCTAAGTTATTTAAGTTCATTCATTGCAGTAGGTCTTCTCTGAGTATGATGAACGTTGGCTATCACCCACTTATTGCGCTTTAAATAGCATTCATAAACCACCCTGAGAACCTCTGTTGTTGAAGGGAATCTAAAGGGTTAATAAAGAAAATAAACTTGGCCCAGAATTGTCTCCATATACATTCTGAATGTATATCCAATGAATATCCAATGAATATTATATACAATACTATATACTCCATATACAATGAATACTAGGTAATAATAATAATAATAATAATAATAATAATAATAATAAAATTTTATTTATATCCCGCCCTCCCCAGCTGAAGCGGGCTCAGGGCGGCTAACAACAATAAACAGTACAACAGTACAACACACAACACTCTAAAATCATTCATTATAAAATTAATTCAAATCAAACCAAAGGCAACCATTTGGCCAGAGCTCCGCGAAGATTGCCGAAGGAGGGAGTCAGGCTGTGCCCTGGCCAAAGGCCTGGTGGAACAGCTCTGTCTTGCAGGCCCTGCGGAAAGATGTCAAGTCCCACAGGGCCCTAGTCTCTTGTGATAGGATGTTCCACCAGATCGGAGCCACAGCCGAAAAAGCCCTGGCTCTAGTTGAGGCCAGCCTAACCTCTCTGTGGCCTGGGACATAAATTCTTACAGTCCTAGAAGGCACCATCCCCCCCCCAGTTGCTCTTATTTTAATATTAATTAGAAAATATGAATTAATTGGTTAATTATCAGGAAGGACTTTTGTGTATGTGAAGAAAGCGTTAACTGGTAAAATCTATACACACAGGTCCTGATGGGTGACCACAGTGCGTTCCATGGAAATCTTTAGTTAGGTAAGGGATGCATAATAAGTCTATGATTTCCTATGGAAATATTTCTAAGGCAGGATTTGTCCCATCTCTTTCCCCCCTCTCCATGGTTTCTTTCTGAAACGGCTGCAGCCAAAAGAAAAAAAATTGATCTCTTGATTTGTCCTCCCCACCCTTGCCTCCAACCAACCCTTGCTTCCACCAACCAGCAAAGCACAAATGAACAAGGAATCTGGTTGTCTGGATATCTGACTCTGCAGAAAGATTAGCAAGGTTTGGGCATAATTCTTTATGTGTGGAGAAGTGAATTTTCGGGTAGCAGGAACTGCGTGTACAGTCCCCTGCAAATGTTGGACTCCAACTTCCATCATCCAGGCCCATTGACCATGCTGTCTGGGTCTGATGGGAGTTTGTGTCAAACAATATTTTCAGGGCTACAGGCTCCTACAGTATACCTGAAGGAGCATCTCCACCCCCATCGTTCTGCCCGGAAGCTGAGGTCCAGCGCCGAGGGCCTTCTGGCGGTTCCCTCATTGCGAGAAGCAAAGCTACAGGGAACCAGGCAGAGGGCCTTCTCGGTAGTGGCGCCCGCCCTGTGGAACACCCTTCCAGCAGATGTCAAAGCGATAAACAACTACCTGACATTCAGAAGACATCTGAAGGCAGCCCTGTTCAGGGAAGTTTTTAACGTGTGATATTTTAGTGTATTTTTTGGTTTCTATGGAAGCCGCCCAGAGTGGCTGGGGAGGCCCAGCCAGATGGGCGGGGTATAAATAATAAAATTATTATTATTATTATTATTATTATTAAACAGCATCCGTGTTCCAACAGCGGCCAGCCAAATGCCTCTGGGATGTCCACAGGCAGGGCCTGAAGACCACAGCTCCCTCTCCTTTGCTGCCCATGTAACTGATATCACCATCCATTAAAATACAGTTTTAGCCAGAGGGTCTTCAAGATTGGCTTACAAAATCAATCAAACAAACAAAAAACTCGCCAGTAATGAAACACAATACAGTGCATCAGGTGAACATTAAAAATGTAAGTGAGACCGGAATCGGCACCGTATTTTTCGCTCTATAAGACACACTTTTCCCCTCCTAAAAAGTAAGGGGAAATGTGTGTGTGTCTTATGGAGCGAATGCAGGCTGCGCAACTATCCCTGAAGCCAGGAGAGCAAGAGGGATTGGTGCGCACTGATCCCTCTTGCTCTCCTGGCTTCAGGGATAGCCGCCCGAAGCCTCTTCAGGGCAACGGGAGGAACGCTCCCCCTGCCCTGAAGAGGCTTGGTACGGCTATCCCAGAAGCTAGAACAGCAAGAGGGATTGCTGCTTTCGCTGCACAGCGATCCCTCTTGCTGTTCTGACTTCGCTTCACTGGAGAGGCTCTGTGCAGCTTTCCCTCTCTGCGCAGCGCCCCTTCAGCAAAGCGGGAGGAGAAACAGAGCCCCTTCCATTTCTCCTCCCGCTTTGCTGGAGAGGCGCTGCGCAGAGAGAGAGAGAATTTTTTTCTTTTTGTTCTCCTCTAAAACTAGGTGCGTCTTATAGAGCGAAAAATACGATAATTCCCCAAAACAGGCAGCGCCAAAGGCGTGGGAATGCTGCATCCAAAAAGGGTTAATGCTGTAGCATAGAATCTTCTGATGTCATAAATATATATACTGAGGCAGTTTCCCCCCAGTTTGTTCAGTTATCACTGTATGTGGAGCTTTAGCTGTGAGAGCAGCAAGTGTGTTGTGTTATGGTGCTGCCTGCCTCAGAGCCAGTCTGTAAATATCAGTCAGTCTCAGATATGAATTCATGTAAATCTGTTTCAGTAACGTAAGTATCAACTACCTCTCTGGTACATTCAATCCGGCAAGAGCAAGTACAGCAAGTCAAAGCCATGCTATTTTTAAACTTTAAAAGCAAGTGTTGCGTGGTTTTTCTAAGGGGGAAAAAGAGAGCTATTAAAAGGGCCGAACAGCCCGGGGCAACTTCTACACAACTCTATAAAGTACAGTGGTACCTCAGGTTACAGACACTTCAGGTTACAGACTCCGCTAACCCAGAAATATTAAGAACTTTGCTTCAGGATGAGAACAGAAATCGCACAGCGGCAGCAGCGGGAGGCCCCATTAGCTAAAGTGGTGCTTCAGGTTAAGAACAGTTTCAGGTTAAGAACAGACCTCCAGAACAAATTAAGTTCTTAACCCAAGGTACCACAAAGGCTCCCTCATAGTCACCTGAAAACAGGAGCAAGGGAGTTGTAAGCAGGGCTGTAGATCAGTGGTTGTGCACCTGGTTCACATGAAAAATATCCCAGATTTAATCTGGTTGATCCCCATTGGAAAGATCCATCTAAAACCCTAGAGAGCACAACCTGTCAGGGACCCGTGGACAATACTGAGCTGGTTTTGATAGCACAAGTAGCCTATGCAGTTTTAGAGGGTGATGCCTCTTTCCAAATTCATTAATGGCATGATGCAGCAGGGAGAAACATCTGGATTCTGTTCTCTCTCTTTTCTATCCCTCATTCTCCAGCAGCCATAGCTAACCCCCTGGTGTAACAGGCTACCCAGTCAAAAGCATCCACATACCATGCCTGGAACACTCTTTAATCTTGCCGGACATCCACGCCACTGCTTTAGCACCCATTTTCGTTCCAAAGTTTCTGTCAAACGGAGTTGGTGAGCCGCCCTGTAATGCGTAAAGGGAAAGTCAGTTTGATTGTCTTTGAGAATCATAGTTGCAGGAATTGCTTAAAAGGTAAAGGTAAAGGGACCCCTGACCATTAGGTCCAGTCGTGGCCGACTCTGGGGTTGCGGCGCTCATCTCGCTTTATTGGCCGAGGGAGCTGGCATACAGCTTCCAGGTCATGTGGCCAGCATGACTAAGCCGCTTCCAGCGAACCAGAGCAGCGCACGGAAACGCCGTTTACCTTCCCGCCGGAGCGGTACCTATTTATCTACTTGCACTTTTTTAAAAAATAACTTTTTTATTCAAAATTAAAACAAAACATATTATCCAGAAACATATCATCCTTATTTCCCCCCCCCCATTTTTCCTCCCTCCCCCCACAGAACCCATCCAGTTCGCTTTGTTGCATCTTCAAATACTTTGTAAAGGGTTCCTATTCATCTTTAAAGTCACAGTTATCCTTGTCCCACAGCTTGTATGTCAGTTTTGCCAGTTCTGCATAGTCCATCAATTTTTCTTGCCATGATTCTTTAGTTGGGGTTTCTTCAGTCTTCCATCCTTGTGCTATTAAAACTCTTGTGGCCGTTGTCGCATACATGAAGCTGTTTTTCAGCTTTTTTGGCAGATCTTTCCCTATCTATTTGCACTTTGACGTGCTTTCAAACTGCTAGGATGGCAGGAGCAGGGACCGAGCAACGAGAGCTCACCCCGTTGCGGGGATTCGAACCGCCGACCTTCTGATCAGTAAGTCCTAGGCTCTGTGGTTTAAAAGCCTCCAAATGGAAGATTGATTGCAGCAGGAGTGGCTATGGGCCTTGCATAGTCTGGCAGAGGAAGTGACCCACCAACTGCTCCAGCTTTATCTTCCAATCTCAGCAGCCTGGTGCTCAGCACTTGAAACTGGGTAGTTTCAAGTGGGTAGTAAAATCTCTGTCCATACTGTGATCAAGACATAAATCCCTCTGTCTGCTCTTCACAGGTAAAGGGTAAGAGACAGTCATTTCCCACTGCCCCAGTGCTGGAGGGAGGTCTTGGAAACTCTCCCTTTTATTATAGAACCATAGAGTTGGAAGGGACCCAAGGGTCATCTAGTCCAACCCCCTGCAATGCAGCTAAAGCATCCATGACAGATGGCCATCTTTCTATGAAGAGTAAAAAAAAATAGCATTTCTCCACCTCTGATGCTGGTAGAGAGGCCTTGTAAGACAGAATTCTGTGGCTATGTGTGTGTGTTGTGTCTGTGTGTTTTCCCTTTGGAACAAAACATAAGACAGTGTGGAGGCCTCTAGATGGGACCAGTCCTTTGGGGCTATTTCTGTCTTCAGCCCGAGTTCAACTTCCCTGCATTCGTGGAACCAAAAGCAGTATTATTTGCTTGAGCAGCTGTAGCAGTATAGCCAGGCTCCAGACGTACCTGCTGCATGTGTCCCAAGACGTTCTTCCTGGTGTCAAAGACGCCTTTCCCTTCCTCAGAATACAAGTTGTATATGAACTCGGTGTTATAGTGCTCATTGCACTTTTCATTCCTAGAAAGAGAGAACACACCCAGCATGGATGAGGCAGGAAGACAGGTCTACACTGATTAAGAACTAGCTTTAAAAGAAAAGAGATGGAATGGCAGGAGACAGCGCTAAGAGAGGGGGGAAAGCCTCAGGTGAGTTGAGCTCTTCTCAACTACTTTTGCCTGGCTGGAATGTGTCATCGTACTGTGATAATGCCTCTTGCTTGGCTGGGTGGGTGGAGGGACGCTGTGTGTGTGTGTGTGTGTGTGTGTGTGTGTGTGTGTGTGTAATTTTCTGTATTTTGTATGAATGTAGACCCAGGATTCACATCCATTTGTCTGATTGGCTAGTGGGCCCTACAGCTTAACTGACTAAATGTTTCCCTTGTTCGGCAGCCTGTTTATACTGGAAATGCATTATTGCTCCATAATAAACTGCCTCTGCCCACCATAATTTTATTCTAACCATAGCCTGCTTTCTCTTCTAGTACAGTGGTACCTCAGGTTACATATGCTTCAGGATACATACGCTTCAGGTTACAGACTCTGCTAACCCAGAAATAGTGCTTCAGGTTAAGAACTTTGCTTCAGGATGAGAACAGAAATTGTGCTCCGGCGGCGCAGCGGCAGCGGGAGGCCCCATTAGCTGAAGTGGTGCTTCAGGTTAAGAACAGTTTCAGGTTAAGAACGGACCTCCGGAACGAATTAAGTACTTAACCCGAGGTACCACTGTATAAGTGAAAGTCAGTGTGGTCCTGGCAGTGATGGGAGACCCAGGTGCAAATTCCTTTACTTTGCCATTAAGTTCCACACCACTCTTGGGCAAATTTCTCTCAGCATAATGTACTTCAAAGGTTAAGTTGTGAGGATAAAACAAAATGAGCCCTACTTACTCAACCACAGATTGCATAGATGATGGGTGGGGTACAGGTATGATATATGGGATTAAATTACATATTGGCACATTCGGATTGTGCAGTTAAAGCTGGCTTGGGGCAAGAAATGCATTTCCTCCCCCAAATCAGTCGTCTTCTTTTTTGCAACGAGTGCCTGGAAAACATACTGGAAACTCTGGAACAACAATTGCTTCCTTATCTAAATGTTCCCCTTTCAAAATGCACCATGCTGAAAAGCTGCAGAACCAATGATGATTTAGAAGCCAGCTCAGAATAGAAAGTTATAAGCACACACGGTTAAAGCTTAAAAGAAGAAGACTGCTTCCACCACTCCTACAATGGTATTGCCCATCTTCACTCTTTTTAGCTAACGGAAACCACTTCTGAGCATCCAATCCCCAGCTGTTTGATGGCTAAGCCTAGTAAGATACCTCAATATGAGACCTCTCTTCACTGTGGTCTTCATTTTCTCAGTCAGATGTTCCACATTCATCTGTTTACCAAAGAGAGAATCATGGTTTCACTTTCCGTCTCCGAAACTACACGTGAGCACATCTCCCAGCTATCATAGCTTTTGCTGCCAAGTTGCAGTCCCCATCATCATACAGTCAAGAATTATTTTCTATAAAGGAGTATTCCTGGAAAGACTTTCCTGCGTGAAGGTGGGACATGCAAACTTTGCACTAAAGCCTGTGACGTCATGTTTTGGATTGTGAATATGAAAGGAGTAAGATTAACCCACTTAATAAAGTCAAACTGCAGGCCCAAAACTATTCACATTAGTGACTTCACACATTTGTCATCTGCACATACAGTTGCAAAGTGTTACACTGTGAGATGCTTGAGGCTCACTTTCCTCCTGAATGAGAACTATAGGTACTTACCGTATTTTTTGCTCTATAAGACTCACATTTTCCCTCCTAAAAAGTAAGGGGAAATGTGTGTGCGTCTTATGGAGTGAATGCAGGCTGCGCAGCTATCCCAGAAGCCAGAACAGTAAGAGGGATTGCTGCTTTTGCTGTGCAGTGATCCCTCTTGCTGTTCTGGCTTCTGCAATTCAGAATATTTTTTTCTTGCTTTCCTCCTCCAAAAACTAGGTGCGTCTTGTGGTCTGGTGCGTCTTATAGAGCAAAAAATACGGTATTTTCACTCTTGCCTCTGAAAAGATTGGCTTGTAGAGTACGCAAGAGTAGGAATTGCCCATTCTTAAAGATTAGCCCCTATGTTTATGCATGAGTCATTGCCTTCGGAGCAAGCCTAAAGAAGTGACTCATGCAGAGATACAACAGGCAGCCTTTTCTGTAGGCAGGCAATTCTGTAAATAAGAGTCTGAATTGGAAGTGATTGTAAGAGGCAATTCTGCTGTGTTCTTCTCTTGGGAGTGACTGAACACCCCGGTCACATCCAAAGCAGAGACTAGACAGAATTACCTGCTTCCAGTGAAGGCAGGAACGCCCATGCATGAACGCTCCTCTAATTTATTTTCATGGCACACAAGCAGTCCTCTCACATCATACTGGCGTTGCCCCAGCGCACAGTTTTGGAATGACTATTCAGGTATTTACAGCAGAGGCTGCTAAGAGTGGAGAGAGGAACTCAATCTAGACTATGCTGCTCTCCCAGGAGCTTTCAAAAAGGAAACAATCCCCTCTGGCCTCTGCAAACGGTTCTCACTTCCAAGTCATGGATGGTGAAAGGATCCTCATAAATATAGGCTGCATCTGCTCCAGCAGCCAGTCCCGCCATGGTAGCCAGGTAGCCGCAATATCCTCCCATGGTCTCAATGATGAACACCCTCCTCTTGGTGCCAGCTGCAGACTGTTTGATACGGTCACAAGTCTAGGGAATTAAACAAATGGCATCCTGCTCAGAAAGACAGAATGGGGCAGGTTCTCTGTATAACTTTTCGGCAACTCTTATGTTTGCAAGTTAAAAGAAGGTAAAAGGTAAAGGTACCCCTGGCCGTTAGGTCCAGAGGCAGATGACTCTGGGGTTGCGCGCTCATCTCTCTCTGTAGGCCGAGGGAGCCAGCGTTTGTCCGCAGACAGCTTCCGGGTCATGTGGCCAGCATGACTAAGCCGCTTCTGGCGAACCAGAGCAGCGCACGGAAACACTGTTTACCTTCCCGCTGAAGCGGTTCCTATTTATCTACTTGCACTTTGACGTGCTTTCGAACTGCTAGGTTGGCAGGAGCAGGGACTGAACAACGGGAGCTCACCCCATCGCGGGGATTTGAACTGCCGACCTTCCGATCAGCAAGCCCTAGGCTCTGTGGTTTAGACCACAGCGTCACCTGCATCCCTAAAAGAAGATATAGACATAAATGTACAACAACTGTCTCGGACTGAGTCAGACATACTGCCTTCTCTCGAATGATAGCTGCCCTCCCAAGATTTCATGGCAAAGAAGGGGTCTTCCCCATCACCCAAGATCCTCTGAGCTGAACGTGGCAGGGACCAACCTAGAACCTTTGGCAAGCCAAGCACACACACTGCCAATGAGCTACGGCCCCTCCCTATTGCTTCTGAAGACATGACACTGCCGAATACCAAATTTGACCATTGAACTGTCTATTCTGGCTGGCAGCACCTATCCAGGGTTTTATCAGGCGGGCATGTCTTTTAATCAGAGATGCCGAAGGAATAGCAACCAAATTCTGCATCACGAAAAGCTGATCTCTTTTTTAAAAACTTTTTTTAAAAAAATAATTTTTATTAACAGGCCAATCAAATCACATTATTTCCAAATCACATTAGCTCCAAATTATACAGCCAGATTTTTAAATTTTGTTGGGGGTACTTCAAGCTCCGAACGGGGGTCCAGCATCACTTATATTGCTGCTTTAATTAGACAGTTCTATCCAGTTCTGTCCAGATAGTCTCTTTATTACTTTCTTCATCTTCTTGTTATTATCATATATTCCTTTCTTTGCGATCTCTGATAATCTTCACAAGCGGGTTGGAAACAAACATCCTCTGTGTGGGTTTTACACTCTCCAAAGATCATATCACATAGGGACAGACGCCATTCCACACTTCCATTAAGAATTTATCCTCGGTCTGTCCTTTAATTTTCCCAGGCTTGCCAAGTATATCACAGAGGGCTCTGCCAGGTTTAAATCACATTCCAACCATCATTCACATTCCGGTGATCCTGGTCCTCCTCCCCCCGTCTTTCTTAGACAAGCCTGTCTTAGCGAGACGCCATTTAAAACTGCGTCATAAGATTTTCCTCCGAAAAGCTGATCTCAGCAGCCTACGAAAATCCTCCAAATTTGCACAGTGTATTTCTGCTCCTGGAGAGCCGCTGCCAGCCAGTTTCGACAGTAGTAAACTAGATGGACCAATGATCTGACTCACTTATAAGGCAGCTTCCTATGCTGTTGCATCACAAAACACTATGTTAGGCAGCTGCCACACCCCACCTGGCCCTGCATGTATTGAAATTCATTGAGCTTGGAAGCCAATGAATGCCTTACTGATGTGATGGTGTTGAGGGCTGTGTCTGCACCAATGCTGAAGTCAGAGCCAGGAACGTTGTTGGAGACGGTGGCAGGAATAACACAGAGCGGGATACAGAGCTCTTCAAACTTGGCTCGGCCTTCAATCAACTCCAGGCTGCCGGTGAAAGCCTACAGAAAGGGGAAAGAAGAAAGCCTCCATTATTAAGATGAGGAAACTGTGGCCCTCCAGATGTTGTTGGACTCAGGGGCGTACGAAGTGGGGGGTGGAGGTGGCAGTCTGTCCTGGGTGCCACTCTGGGTGTGTGTGTGACAAGATGGCCCCTGCCTCTCCCCAGCTGGAGAGCGGCTGAGGGTGTGTGCAGTCAGTATGGGCACCCGTCTCGCACGGCGACCATACAGGCTGCCGCTCTCACACAGCGACCATGTGGGCTGCTGCGCATGTGCAGTCTGTACGGGATGCTGTGCATGTACAGTCCGTACAGACGTCGCGCATGCGCCACTGGGTGATTCGTCCCGCCCTGGGTGCCGGAGAGGGTTCCTCCGCCACTGGTGGGACTGTATCTCCCATCATCCCTGGCCAATGACCATGCTACCTGTGGCCAATGGGAGTTGGGAGTCCAGCAGCATCTGGGCAGTTCTCCATCCCAGCCATAACCTGCCTATCATCGGAGCCCACCCTGTTCTCTCTTAGGATTTGGTTGTTGGACAAAGAGTGCCTCTTCCAGTCCACTGTCAATGGGTGTCATGTTGTGCCTATAGGAATGTTCTGTGGAATGTGAAAACTGACATACTCATTCACCAGTCTGTTAATCCTATCAACAGTGCTTTACTTCTGTTATAGATCTTGTGCTCTAAAGAGCCTAAGAGACCTACCTCAAAGCCACCAATTATGATCAGCCCATGGATGTTAAAACTGGCGATGTTGTTGCTGATTTGCTCAAAGTACTTCTTAGGTAGAGTCCTGTCATTGAAGAAGAAGAATCAGCACTCTGTTTTTGTTTAATCTCTTATTCATTCTGATGGTTAACATCAAGCAAAAAATGCAGTAATCAAAATAATGAAATCCACACCAACAACTAAAACATAACACAGTGGCTAATACAACTTTGACTAACGGGTCCCAGTTCAGTTAAGATTCCAAATGCCTGGCTGAATAAATGCAATTTTTAAAAATTTGTGCCTGAATGTTGTTGATGTGAGGGAAAAGCAAATGCAGGGAGTTCCACAGATGAGGGTTGCCACTGAGAAGGCCCTGCCTCTTGTCCCCACCATCACTACCATTGACAAGACTACCCCAGCCCATCTTAAAGCATAGGCACGCCTTACATTCCTTGGGCCCTAAGTTTTATATGGCTTTGGACAAAGGTGCCAATGCCTTTGGTTGGGCCCAGTGGCTAACAGGCAGTCAGCGCAGAGTTTTAAGGATCAAAACGATATAATCCCATCTTGCTGCTTCACATTACAACCTGGCAAGTGGCGTTCTGCCTCAGCTGCAGCTTTCAGGCTGGGTTAGATTTAGCCAGTCCACTCCCCACTTGGAAAATGCTTTGCTGAGTGATTCGCTGAGGATGCAACGGAAGCAGAGAAATAAGCTTTCTTCACCACCATCGTCACTACTACATGGTAGACATGATGGCGAACTCTTGTTCTGTCGTCTGTGCCACCTCTGCCCCAGCCATCATCTGGTCAGCTGCAATGCCAGGAGCCCCTCAAAGAATCAAGAAGCCTTTCAGACTCCCTACAGAGGGATCTTGTCAGGAGCACCGGCCATGCCAAGCTAGAAAAACACTGAGAATTCAGGAATCACTCTGATTCAGTAAGTCTTGGGAGGCAGGCGATGGTACCTTTTGATTTCACTCATAGAAAGTTCCATTATCCCCAGTAACTCTCCTTTTCCAGACAGTTAGCCTCTGCAGGGGGACGGGCAATTCTGCTGTGCTTCAGCAAAGGATATGATATGAGCTTTCAAATATTCCTAATGTAGTCACAGAAGAACTTCCCAGCTTCAGGGGAGGCTGCCTGATGCATCTCTGCATGAGTCACTGCTCTTCCCAATCAGCCTCCGCTGTGTGAGGTGATTCTGTTTTGCCTCTGCATCCAGCATCACTGGAGCATCCAGTCACGCTACCCATATACAAATGCAGCAGCCTCTGAGGACATTCTTATACAAATCAATGCTTTGAGCTTGTCTTCTTCCAACCAGGAGTACAGTGTCTCCTGTAGAAATATGGAGAATTGTCTCCAGTGGCTCTTCCACTCTCTAAAAGTAAAAAAATTAGGCAGGGGTGATTAACCTGTTGCCCTCCACATTTGTTTTTGGTTTTTTTGCTGGACTACAACTCCCATCATCCTTAACCAGTGACCATACTGAGTTGGAATCCAGGAATATCAGGAGGGCCACAAGCTAGCCACCTCTGCTTAAATCTATAAAAGGGACATGTGTTTTTTCAATTAATTATAACAGGAAAAAGTTTTCCTCAGCTATGTTTGCCAGCTGTGTTTATGTTTTAATTTTTTTTTATCATTTTCTTTTTTCTTTTAAACACAGAGTACATCCGTCCATGGACACCTTTCCATAGCTGTCAACTTACAGATTTGAAAATAAGGGACCAGCAGCCAAAATAAGGGATTTTAGTCAACCACCTGAGATACAAATTTAAAAGGGACCAGATAATTTTGGAGAGCAGCGCCAGTTTTTAGCCCTTCATTTCCACAGCTTGCTGCTCAAGCTGATGAAACACTGCAATTAAATAACTACAAGCAGCAACCACTTTTTCGCGCAAAACAAAGTCCAAGCTACGAAGATGCTACCCCAGGCAAAGACGCTCAGTTTGGCGGCTGCGAGGAGGATGGCAGTGGAAGGGCCCGAGGCTCCCGCCAATCCCGGCGGGTAGGGGCTCCCGGGGGCCGAGGCTGCTGAGAGGAGGCCGGAGGGGGGCGGGCCGGGCAACCAAGCAACACAGTTGGAGCCTCCCTCCTCCCTGGCCGGCAGGGAGGGAGGGAGAGGAGCTGCTTCCTTTGAAACCCGGGAATTTTAAGGGACATCATCAATAAAGGACAGCAGTGGGACACAGCTCTGGGATAAAGGAGTTTCCCGCCAAATAAGGGACGGTTGACAGCTATGCACCTCTCCCCATCATAATACCTTTTGGTTCCAAGACTCGATCCACCTCTCCCAGTCCAGCCGCCGACTCCTCCCCATCCAATTTCTTCAATCTGGAGAGGAAGGACAGAAGAAAGGGTTTCTTTAGCTCAAAGCAGCTCTTTCCTGAGCCACTGGCAATTGTGGAACTCTCTTAGAAGGGAGTATTAATCCCTCAGTTAAACAAAACAAATACCTTTCCTTCGGCTAGGCCTTCAAACCCGTCGTGCACAGCTAGCATCCTATGGCCGTGGATCAATCCAATTCTAACGGTAGACCTCACGGCTGCATTCATGCCAGCTGCTGGTGCACCTACGTTCATCACTGCCAGGTTGTAGCCGCTCTGCAGAGAAAGAAAAGGATTGGGGATCAGAAAGGGCTTTGAATGTACTTCAAAGCACACCCTGTTGGGGGATTCTGGGTTCCACTGAAGGAGCCGGTCACACGGACAGAAATGCATTCATAGAGCAGATTTGCTTCCTTTAGAAGGATGGTTTATTTATTTATTAAAATTTGAATTACATTTGTGTGTGTGTGTACTCCAAGAATAATAGTAATATAATAATTTATCATTTATACCCCACCCATCTGACTGGGTTTCCCCAGCCAATCTGGGCGGCTTCCAACAGAATAACAGAAGCAAACATTAAAGACATCTGATAGGAGGGCGTTCCACAGGGCGGGTGCCACCACCGAGAAGGCCCTCTGCCTGGTTCCCTGTAACCTCACTTCTCGCAGGGAGGGAACCACCAGAAGGCCCCCAGAGCTGGACCTCAGTATCCAGGCTGAATGATGGGGGTGGAGACGCTTCAGGCATACTAGGCCAAGGCCGTTTAGGGCTTTAAAGGTCAGCACCAACACTTTGAATTGTGATCGTAAACATACTGGGAGCCAATGTAGGTCTTTCAGGCACATGAGAATAAAATCAGCAGAAAAACACCAATAAACAAATACAAACTGGTTAAAAAGAAAGATAGCTCATGTTACAACTGTTGTGGGTGAACATATCAGACGACACAGTGATTCTTCAAACAGCTCTTGTTTATTCACAGGCCAGAACAGAACTGAACTGAAGGGTTCAGCCAGCCTGCTTATATAGGGCTCCAGTACAACGTAACTGTAACAATTTTCTAAAACTATCCAATCACTGAACGTCACTTTCGGCCCCTTATTTGCATAACTATCTACAGTATCCCCCTGCTGGCCCAGGGTGAGAACTTCAGTACATAACAACAACGGCCTGTCTAAGCAGTTCTCAACAGGCTATGCAGACCTGCCTATACCAAAACAAAGGAAGCGGCCTCGTAGAAGGTCAGGTCTTCACAGTCTCAGACAGAGAAGGGTGTCTCCCATCGCCTGCTACATGAATCCTTTTATTTAGAGATGCCAGGGATCAAACATGGGACTTACACACACAAAGCATACCACTGAGCTATGCCTTCTCTCCCACTGTATGCCCCTTCCCCGCCCCCCTTACCTTTGCAGAGGGTGGGCGAACATGGGCCAAAATCTTGTAAACATTCCAGTTGTTTTGGAAACTCCTGCAGGGTGAATCAAATTATTAGGAGCAAAGGAAGCAGCCTTCTAACCTAGGCTAGTTCAAGACTGTCTACACTGACTGGGAATGGCAGGAAATCCTTCCCAGCCCTTCCTGGAGATGCGAAGGACTGAATCCAAGACCTTCTGCATGCAAACCAGATACTCTGTCACTGAGCTACGGCCACTTCCCCTTCCTAAGAATAAAAAATAAATTTCACAGAGGCCCCGGAAGGCCTTGTTCACATTGTAGCTCCAACTTACCTTCCCCTAAGTTTAAGAGCTTCATCAAACCGTCCCTCATTCATTGCTGTTGTGACATCTTTAGTCTGTTGAAGGAAGACGATAGTGACAAATTTATTTTTTATTTTTTATAATAATATTTATTAAATTTTCCATTTTAACAATCCAATTAATCCACCTTAAATACATTCCAAATGATAATGCAATCAAACAGTCCAAATTTTATGCCAAATTATAAGTCTTTGATTTCTTACCTGCCCATAAGGCCCCAGGAGCGGTAACAACAATATAATATACCCCTATGAAAACAACTATTTCAAATGAAACAGAACAACATACATTCAGCAAATGTGGTGGGGGTCCAGCAAAACAAAATACAGTGGTGCCTCGCAAGACAAAATTAATTCGTTCCGCGAGTTTTTTCGTCTTGCGATTTTTTTCGTCTTGCGAAGCACGGTTTCGGAAAAGTTTTGGAAAAGCTTCAAAAATCACCAAAGTCTTCAAAAACCTCAAAAAAGGCTACCACACCGCATGCTATGAGTTGCTCCTTGAAGTCAAGTCGCAACTGTATTAACGGTGTTAAGAAAAAGGAAACAAACTTGCAAGACGTTGCCGTCTTGCGAAGCAAGCCCATAGGGAAAATCGTCTTGCGAAGCAGCTCAAAAAACAAAAAACCCTTTCGTCTTGCGAGTTTTTTGTCTTGCGAGGCATTCGTCTTGCGAGGTACCACTGTACCTTAACTGTTGAAGGCTGGGATAAAGAGGTGCATTTTCTTGTCCCACCCCCATAAACCCACATGCCAGCAAACAATACTTACTACTTGGACGCACTCCATGAGAGGAAGACGGACAGCTTGGTTACCAGAGAGGCTGACAACACATGCTGGAGTATCAGGAGTTCCCTCCAGTAGCGCCATGACAGCTTCCACACCCATCCTGCTTCCCTGCAAGATGGAGAATAGAAAAATGATTTTTTTAAAGGGTTGGGGCTTTTTGTATTTCTGCAAACACCTGAGCATGTCAATACTTCCCTCTTGTTTTACAGCGGCCTAATTTTGGCTCCAATCTGGCTCCAACACTTGCCACCTGAGTTCATTATTAGAGGGAGTGATAAGTAATTTGTAATAATAATAATAATAATAATAATAATAATAATAATAATAATAATAAACACTTTTATTTATACCCCGCCCTTCCCAGCCAAGACCGGGCTCAGGACAGCTAACACCATGTATAAAACAATTGATTAAATTACAACTTAAAAACAAGATTAAAATACAACATTAAAATGCAGCCTCATTTCAGTAGAAACTCAGATCAAAAACTTTTTGGGGGATGAAAACGTTAAATCTTCACCAAAGGCCAACTAATTACCTCCTGCTGTGTGAATGGTCACTGAGTGCTCTTATCATGCCAAACTTTGCCGAAAAATGTGAGAGACTGCATTTTGTGGCCTTTTGTCTACACAGTTTACAACGTGACACAATGGGCTCTAGTCCAAGAAAGCTCATACCTCAACTAGTCTGTCACGAGACCCTTTGCCCTTCTACAGAAGTGTAACATTCCCCACCAGCAGGCAATTAATTCCAGAGAAGTTAACAATCTAGAGGCAGCGGGACTGCATCAAGTGTGTGGGGAACCTTGGGGCCGCCAGGCGTTGCTGAACTGCAACTCCCATCAGCCCCAGCAAGCAGGGCCAACGGCCAGGGATTATGGGAACTGTAGTTCGGCAACATCTGGAGGACCAAAGGTTCCCCACACCTGGACTACACCTTTAGAAATGTCTCTCCAATATGCAATATGTCTCTCTCACTCCAATATGCAATACAGTGGCACCTCTGGTTATGAACTTAATTCGTTCCAGAGGTCCGTTCTTAACCTGAAACTGTTCTTAACCTGAGGTACCACTTTAGCTAATGGGGCCTCCTGTTGCCGCCACGCTGCCGTCATGCGATTTCTGTTGTCATCCTGAAGCAAAGTTCTTAACCTGAGGTAATACTTCTGGGTTAGCGGAGTCTGTAACCTGAAGCGTATGTAAACCGAGATACCACTGTACAGTAGTACCTCAGGTTAAGAACTTAATTCGTTCCGGAGGTCCGTTCTTAACCTGAAACTGATCTTAACCTGAAGCACCACTTTAGCTAATGGAGCCTTTTGCTGCTGCCGCGACGCCAGAGCACGATTTCTGTTCTCATTCTGAAGCAAAGTTCTTAACCCGAGGTACTATTTCTGGGTTAGCGGAGTCTGTAACCTGAAGCGTCTGTAACCTGAGGTACCACTGTATTGTTTACAGGCGTGTCATCTATATGAAGCATCAGAAACAAAACTGCATTGCTTTTTACCAGGATGCGATCAAAGGCAGAGGGGGTCCCACCACGCTGCACATGTCCAAGGATGGTGACTCTTGTGTCATAGCCCAGGCGTTTCACAACCAGCTGCAGAGAGAAGAGAGGTGCAAAAAAAAATGACATTATCCCTTCAAAGTTAAGAATGTTCACTGGACAACAGAGGACGAACCAGGCTTTTGTTACTCTTTGAGTCCTTTGGTTGTACAAACCTGCCCTTTTTATCTGTGCAGGATAATAATAATAATAATAATAATAATAATAATAATAATAATAATAATAATAATAATAATTTATTATTTATACCCCGCCCATCTGGCTGAGTCTCCCCAGCCACTCTGGGCGGCTCCCAATCAAGTGTTAAAAACAGTACAGCATTAAATATTAAAAACTTCCCTAAACGGGGCTGCCTTCAGTTGTTTTTAATAAGTAAAATAGTTGTTTATTGCCTTGACATCTGCTGAGAGGGCGTTCCACAGGGCGGGTGCCACTACCGAGAAGGCCCTCTGTCTGGTTCCCTGTAACCTCACTTCTCGCAATGAGGGAACCGCCAGAAGGCCCTTGGTGCTGGATCTCAGTGGATGATGGGGGTGGAGATGCTCCTTCAGGTATACTGGACCGAGGCCGTTTAGGGCTTTAAAGGTCAGCACCAACACTTTGAATTGTGCTCGGAAATGTACTGGGAGCCAATGCAGATCTCTCAGGACCGGTGTTATGTGGTCCCGGCGGCCACTCCCAGTCACCAGTCTAGCTGCCGCATTCTGGATTAATTGGAGTTTCCGGGTCACCTTCAAAGGTAGCCCCACGTAGAGTGCATTGCTGTAGTCCAAGCGGGAGATAACTAGAGCATGCACCACTCTGGTGAGACAGTCATTCTGCCTCCCAGCGAGTATTTCAACTCAATCTCAATGTTAGGCCAAAGGACATTGACACAGACGCTCCGAGCAGAAACAGGATTGCATCACCCACACTTTTAATGTCTTCTGAGGTGATCGGCTTGCCGTGCTTGTCAATAGCTCCTTCAGCCACAATAATGATGTTCAGCCTTGAGCCTCGGGTTCTTGTCTGTGGAGAAGAAAAGAAGGAGAGAGAGATCCACTTTAAACCATGTTCCAGGCCTGGTTTGGAGACAGAAACTGCCTTGGACAGCCAAGAAAGGCTGCCGGGAACCCAACCTTGGTGATTCCCCTGGACCTCTCTACAGCTTTCAGTGCCATCAATCATGGTACTGTTCTCTGCTCAGTTGCTGCTGCCATATCCTTAATCAAGGCTGGAGTTTTGTGCAGCCTAGAGAGGGCCTGACTGTGAAACTCAGGCTACCCTAGGTTTGTCTAGCTTCTCCAGCTCACCAGGCCTTTGAGGTGGCTTAGGACCTGTGAGGGTGTCCCATTGTTTTGGTGCAGATTTCTTTCACTGACTCCAAATACTTCAACTGATTTGCTTTTTAAACATTCTCCAGCCAGTATCACAGCATCAACATATTACAGCATATTACAGCCCTGAGATACTGGCTCAAAATCTCAGTCTTTGGCCTAGGGAAGTGGTTACTTCCATAGCTAAACAACAAGGAGTTTACCAGCTCATGGATGAAAATTATGGTTAGAAAAGCCACTTCGACTGGTATGCCACCTTCTCTCCTGTACCATCTGGGTATGATATCGCCCTTGAATCTCTGAGGCAAACGCTCTGGGACATATTCACATAGTGATCTCCAATCTCAATCTCATGTTAGCTGTGGCCCATTAGCAGTAGGAATTCACTATGGGTTCAAGTTTCAGACACCTGTGTATCTTAGAAATTTGTCTGTACCAACATATCAGCGTCTTTTCACCAAAGCCAAAGTAAATGTATTCCCATCAGAAGTGTTAAACGGCAGACTGAGAGATATCCTTTATCAAAATAGGATCTGTGTATGCTCTCAAAATATTGGCTGCATGAGGCATATTTTATTGCATTGCAGACAATATGATCAAGCTAGGGAACTATTGATTAAACCACTATTGGCAAATCGGCCGGGTCAATCTGAAGCCTACTATACCAAATATCTTCTAGACGACAAGTCCAATGATATCACAGTGGCCGTGGCAAAGTTTCTTTTAGTAGTCATAGGAATCAAAGATCAACATACCCACAACTAAACAAATAATGCTTCGGTCTCCCTTCCCTGGGGGGGTTGTCTGTATGAATCTGTATTTTATTCTGAATCCATGTTATGGGTCATTGGACTGCAATAAAGATTATTATTATTATTATTACCTCAGTTAGCCTCCTGCACAAGTGATCCTCCCAGTCATCCTCTGGTGGAGATTCTGGAATGAAAACCCAGTCTGCACCACTTGCCAAGGCTGTTACAAGGGCTAGGTAACTAGAGAAAGAGATAAAAGCCAAACAATGAGCCATTACTGATTTGGTGCAAGATTTTAAGCTAGCAATAGTGCTTGAAAAATCCAAGCAGGGAAGGAGCTTAGGTCTGACTGGAGACTGATTCATATCATCCTCTCTCTGGGGAAACCCAGACTGTACTCAAGACTGGAGAAATTTGATCTTTCTGAATTCCAGTACCAATGGGATCCACACTTCATGGGCTAGTGTGTGGATCAGAATGTAATCAGCCTTCGGATCAGACATAGGACCTCCAGATGTTTAGGACTACAATTCCCATCATCCCTGACCACTGGTCCTTTTAGCTAGGGATCATGGGAGTTGTAGGCCAAAACTTCTGGAGGGCCAAAGGTTGCGTATGTCTGCTTCAGATCATTCACTTCACTGATTTTTGCACCGCCATTTATTTTTTTTAAAGGATCAAAATGCATTTTAAAACGTGACATTTGAGAGAAATAAGAATAGGAATTCCTACCCACAGTGACGACCCATGACCTCCAGCACAAATGTCCTCTGGTGACTGCAAGGCAAAACAAATAATAAAGCACTATTAAAAAGAAAACAAAAACAAAAAAGATAAACACAGATTCTCACATACAGTGGTACCTCGGGTTAAGTACTTAATTCGTTCCGGAGGTCCGTTCTTAACCTGAAACTGTTCTTAACCTGAAGCACCACTTTAGCTAATGGGGCCTCCTGCTGCCGCCACGCCACCGGAGCACGATTTCTGTTCTCATCCTGAAGCAACGTTCTTAACCTGAGGTACTATTTCTGGGTCAGCAGAGTCTGTAACCTGAAGCGTATGTAACCCGAGGTACCACTGTAATTAGAAAGACAAAGGATTGCACAGGCTCTTCTTAGAAAAAAAGAGAGTCCCAGGTCACTTCAACTGTTACCAAGAAGGCCATCAAAATACCTCATTAAAACATGTACAAGCAGTGGCTAAGCGTATGCTACCGCCACTCAGGTTGGGCACAAGGGACACGCCCCCCAAGGAGGGTGGGACCAGGGCCGGATTTATGTTTGATGAGGCCCTAAGCTACTGAACGTAATGGGTCCCTTTATATGGCCAGCTGTCCTCTGTCAACAACAAATTGTCGCTGTTTTTTGTGTTTAATATAGGCTATGTGGTAATTTATGGACCTAATAGGTATCTAAAGCCATTTGCACATAACAAATAGGACCCTAGACAACACAAAACACTATTGCTGTATGTAGGTTTTATTTTATTTGTTTTTTATCTTACATTTTGGAAATGTACATCCAGGTTTTTTCCCCTTGAAATTTTTTTTGGGGGGCCACTTGGGGCCCTAAGCTATAGCTTGTTTAGTTTATACCTAAATCCAGCACTGGGTGGGGCACAGAGAGAGCCTGCTGCGCTCAGGGTCAGGTGTAACCCTAGAGTGCAGCTGTGGCCAAACAAGGGAAAGTTGCCTTGGTTGCAAAAATATGCCTGGGGCCACAGATCCCCCCCCCATGCTACACCACTGTGCACAAGTTTTACCTTGAAGATCCTTATACAGTCATACCTCAGGTTGAAGTTGCTTCAGGTTGAGCGCTTTCGGGTTGCGCGACCCGGAAGTAACGGAACGCGTTACTTCCGGGTTTCGCCACTCGCGCATGCGCAGAAGGTCAAAATGACGTCACACGCACGTGTGGAAGCGGCAAATTGCGACCCATGCAGACGCAGGTTGTGTTCACTTCAGGATGCGAACGGGGCTCGGGAACGGATCCCGTTCGTATCCAAAGGTACCACTGTATTTTCTTGTTCTCTCTCTCTCTCTCTCTCTCTCTCTCTCTCACACACACACACACAAAACCTACCCTTATCTATTTAAGATATATATATTTTTTAAAAATTCTACAACAGAGAGTAGGCAAACTGAGTCAAATTTTGCCTGTATTTGCAAATATATTCTTTCCCATTTTATATGCTCCTGCATGAGGAAGAGCAAAGAGTTTCCGCGATTGCTCCGCAACTGCCGTCTATATACACTTTCAAGCCTAGTCTTAAGGGCTAGGACTTTGTTTTCTTCTCTTTTTTTTTAGCTGCAGAAAGAGATTCTCATGGTGCCATTCAGGAGCTGTAGAAATCAAAGGGGCCTGCACAATGCCCACAAGTCTCACCTCTGAGCAGTGGTGGTGATAGCATCCACTATTTCCATTATCCTGTGGAGAGCGGAGTCTGTGCCAATGGTCATGTCAGTGCCACAAAAGTCGTTATCAATAGATCCAACCATGCCAACAATGTTTAGGTAACTAGACTTGCTGGCTTCTTCTGCCGTGATGCCACCTGGCAAAGAACCAATGGAATACCAGCATATAATATAATTACACCATCCCTGAAAGTTCACTCTTAGCCTAAATCTAGCAAAAAGAAAGCAAACGTTCTCCATATTCTCCATTTATCCTGCAGGTCAGAGCAAGGGTGGCTAAGATGAGGTTCTCCAAATATTGTTGGATTCCAACTCTCACCAGCACAGGGACCTACTGTGAGGGGGGAAATTATTTGATCCCTTGCTAAATTTGCCCGTTTGCCCTCTGACGAAGAAATGACCAGTCCATAATTTTAATAACATCCTTGGACAGCTCTTTGGTCTTGGTCATGGTGGATTGATTGCTTCTGTTGACAGGTGTCTTTTGTACATGTACTGTAATGAGCTGGGATTACAGTACATGTACTGTATTACTAATGAGACCTCACCCTTACAGCAGGTGCTTCTAATCTCAGCTCATTACAGTGAAGATACCAGGTAGCCTGACATCTGGCTGGTTGACAGGGGACCAAATACTTATTTCACTCATTATAATGCACATCAATCTCTGACTTTTGTCTTCGGGGTTTCTGGGGGGTTTTCCTCTTGTTATTCTGTCTCTCACAGCTATAATAAACCCACCATTAAAATTATGGACTGGTCAGAGGGCAAACGGGCAAATTTAGCAGGGGATCAAATACTTTCCCCCCTCACTGCAGCATTCAGTTTTTAAGTGGCAATACCTGTCTTAACCAGCTCCTGCAGCAAACTGGTCCACTCCGCTCGGAAGGTATCTGCTCCAGTCAAGCTGCCGTCTCCCCCGATCACGCACAAGTTTGTGATTCCTCTCTTCACCAGGTTGCGAGCAGCCTTCAGGCGTCCTTCGCGCGCACGGAAGTCCATACACCTGGCACTCCCGATGACAGTGCCACCCTAGGTGAGGGGACAAACCAGGTGAGAGCTGGAAGACAACATTATGGCCACCTAACTTAGGTGCTGCTATGATCAAGAGGAGTCCCTCAAGCAAATCTGGAAGAAGAAAAAATCAAGGGAGGGAAAAATACCTTAGGTCATAGCTACTGTTAAGTTGTGGGTGAACATATCAGATGACACAGCGATTATTCAAACAGCTCTTGTTTATTCACAGGCCAGAACAGAACTGAACTGAAGGGTTCAGCCAGCCTGCTTATATAGAGCTCCACTACAACGCAACAGTAACCACTTTCTGTAACTATCCAATCACTGAACGTCACTTTCCATCCCTTATTTGCATATGTGGACCTGAGTGAAAACTATCTACAGTATCCCCCTGCTGGCCCAGGGTGAAAACTTCAGTACATAACAGGTACCATGACAAGAAAGCTGCTTCAGATGAGGGGGGGAATCCCCCTTGGCCCATGAACAAATACTTTTGAATACTTTAATTACTTTCTATTGGTATAAATCAGTGGTTCCCAATCTTGTTTTTGGCCATGCCCCACCTAAGAATCTCTAAAATCCTGTGACATATAATTCTTATTATTCAAAAAGTGAACTCCTATTCATGTGGAAGAAGCCTAAAAAGCCATTAACTTGGTCTAAATCATTCTTGAATTGCCCCCGTCAAAATCAAATTACACCCCTGTGAGGTGTGTGCCCCACGTTGGGAACAATGGGTATAAATAGTTTTAGTCACTACCTTCCACGCATTCACATACTTGTGGTTAATTTACTTTGGTTTTATTTTATGTATTTGTTCAACAGTGAACTATTACTGATATGCTAGCCATTTTCAAATATCTCAAGGGCTGTCAACCTGGAAGAGAGAACAAACTTGTTTTCTCCTGGTCTGGAGGGAAGGATTCGAACGAATGGCTCTAAATTTCAAGAGAGGAGTTTTCAACTAAACATCAGGAAGTACCGTATTTTTCGCTCCATAAGACGCACCTGACCATAAGACGCACCTAGATTTTAGAGGAAAACAAGAAAAAAAATATTCTGAATGAAACAATGGATGTATGATTTTTGTGGTTCATGCTGTGGCCACAGACATGTGATCTAATGGTGAATTTGGGGTGACCCAATGCAAAAATCCTGGGGATCTGTGCTTTGTAACCATGTTTTTGCACCATTGCAGCCCCACACAACAGTGGGTGCATGATTTTTTTTGGTCAGGCTGTAGCCATGGACATGTTATGTGATCTAATGGTGAATTTGGGGTGATCCAATGTAAAAATCCTGAGGATCCATGGGCTTTTACCTCCCCCCTCCTAGGCAGCCTCCGCTAGCGTCTCTTATCTCTCTTCTGATCCCACCGATCAGCTGTTTCCTTTCAACACTCCCTTCCCTCTTGTTTGCCTTAGTGCCTTTTCCTTAGCTGGAGAAGTTTTTTTGCTCCTCCTTTTCTTCTAATTTCTCTCCTTATTGCTTTAGTCTTCCTGTTTCCCCCCTTTGCAACTTTGCTGTCTCTACCTCCCCCCTCCCAGGCAGCCTCCTTTATCTCTAGCGTCCCTTATCTCTCTCCCCCCCCCCCCGATTGGCAAACGATCAGCGGCTTTGTTTCAACACCCACTTCCCTCTTTCAAAAAAAAGAGCATGATCTGCTTTTTGCCCCTGGGCAATTCGGCTCCAGGGACCACACATTTGCTCCACAGACATTTCCCCTTACTTTTTAGGAAGAAAAAGGTGTGTCTTATGGAGCGAAAAATACGGTACTTTCCAACAGTGAGAGCTGTTTGACAGTGGAACCTCCTTTGGGAGGCTGTTGACTCTCCTTCCTTGGAGGTTTTTAAGCAGAGGCTGGATGGCCATCTGTCATGGATGCTGTAGCTGAGATTCCTGCATTGCAAGGGGTTGGACTAGATGACCCTTGGGTCCCTTCCAACTCTCTACAATTCTACATGGACTATGCATATTGCCATCAGATCCTATTTGATAACACTGTATTTTGCAGAATCGTGTATAACTTTAATATATAAAAATATGTATTAAAAATAAGTTGATCCACATGGAGCACTGCTGGACATCTTTCCAGAAGAGCAAGCAAAAGTTCATCCTCTCTCTCCTGCCAAGGATGTCAAGGCAGCAAACATCATTCTCCCTGTTATGTACTGAAGTTCTCACCCTGGGCCAGCAGGGGGATACTGTAGATAGTTATGCAAATGAAGGATCGAAAGTGACGTTCAGTGATTGGACAGTTTTTATGCAAATGAAGGATCGAAAGTGACGTTCAGTGATTGGATAGTTTTAGAAAGTTGCTACAGTAACGTTGTACTGGAGCTCTATATAAGCAGGCTGACTGAGCCCTTCAGTCAGTTCTGTTCTGGCCTCTGAATAAACAAGAGCTGTTTGAAGAATTGCTGTGTCATCTGATATGTTCACCCAAAACTTAACACTCCCCCTTTTCCCATTTTATCCTCACAACATACCTGTGAGGTAGGTTAGGTTGAGAGAGGGTAACTGGTTAACAACAGCATAGCATCCAATACTATCAGGGAAACAGGATAGCTTAGGAGACATAGGCCTGGCTCCATTACTCTCTCCTTGACACCCCATCTGTCATTTGAGGTGGCTGCTTCACTTTGCTTCATGGCTGGGCTTGCCCTGGAGATTATTTATTGAGGTAAACAGATCCCAAGTCCCACTCCACTCAACTACAGTTCCCAGGGTACTCCAAAAAGAGGCAATGCCCGGAAAAGCTATGATCTCTAATTCTCAGGTTCATTCTTTTGAGGAAAATGGCCGGCCTGATCTCCTGATTCAGGAGAGAGAGGGCTCCAAAATGCTACACCTCTCTGCCCACCAAATAAATCCTCCTCACTACAAAGATCAAAGTATCTTCACCATCACCAAAATCCATTAGCTGCAACAGTTTGAAGTGCTTTGTAAAGCAGTGGTTGAGAATTTCCCCCAATTAACCGTTATGTGTAAAGGGTTTGTGAGGAGAGATCAGGGCATTTTTTCAGCCAGAACTCAGTTCTGGCACCTCTCAGGTGGGCGCCATTGCCATTATAAGAGAACAAGGGAGTTATTCATGGTGGGTTCTGACACTTCTTTTTCTACAAAAAAGAGATACACTGGGAGGGATAATACATGTTTGCTACATGTCATCCTCTATCTCTACAGTCTGGGTGCCTAGAGAGAGTTGTGGCCAGACCAGAATCCTCTGCAATTCTTGTTTATGAAATTCAAAAAAGCCCCGACTCATGCAAGTATGGCTGCAAGCAAAGGTCAGCTCGGGTTTCGAGTTATTTTGGGTCTCAGGCATTCATTGTGACCCCAGCTATGGCGATATCATTACACTTAAGATGGACGACTTTGCCAGTGACCCCAACTGGCGAAAAGGTCAAGATGTTACAATAATTTTCCTCGTGACGGGAGCCCCTCACTCAACCAGCCTGTGACTTTCCTCAAACTGGAGAAAGAGCAAAGGAACTTCTCAAAGGGGAAAAGAATAACCATTTTATATATATATAAAATAACACTGGACTGACCACTTCGATATTTCCAGAGGTTTAAGATATTTTTACAAGGTTAAAATTAAAATCCCACTGGGGATTATGTCATGTATAGTGTCCATAAATAAAATAAAGTAAACCTTATGCCCCTGTCAAATAAACACCCCTGGGGCAGATTTGATGGAGGCACAGGGGACTGCAGAGACAAAGAAGGAATAACACAACAACAACCCACCACCCTGCCCACTTTCACCAGTGCAAGTAGAACTTGGCTGAGCATGTCTGGATCCAACCCAATGAAATGCAAACCATGCCCTAATTCTATAGCAGCTTTCCTGAAATATACTCGGAGTCGAGAGTGGATTTCATGCTCTTTATTCAGCTCATAGTGGTGAGGAGGAATGGAAGTTCCCCCAGAATGTCTGCTTTATATACATTATTTACACAATGGGCCCCATGTGATTGGCTAATTCCGGGATTCTCCTGTAGGCCAATCAGGTCGCGGATTCACTTCCACTTGGAGCTGGATTGGGTGGCTCCTGCGGACCAATCAGACTGCTGCATTTTGAATCCTATTGTTCTAGGACCAATCAGACTGCTGCATTCTGAATCCTATTGTTCTAGGACCAATCAGACTGCTGCATTCTGAATCCTATTGTTCTAGGACCAATCAGACTGCTGCATTCTGAATCTTATTGTTCTAGGACCAATCAGACTGCTGCATTTTGGATCCTGTTCAACTCAGTACATAACATTTCCCCAACCTAGTGCCCTCCAGGTGTTTTGAACTACATTTCCCACCAACTTCAGCCAGCATAGTCAATAGTCAGAGATGAAGGGAGTTATTGTTACCACATAATACTCATTCTTCATTTGTAAGCAATTGATCACTTAGTGTGGCAGCACCCACACTATGGTCCCATTCATTCTTTTTGGCACTTGCTAAAAACTTTCTGGTTTATGCAAGCCTACCCAGATATGCAGGGACGCGGGTGGTGCTGCGGGTTAATCCACAGAGCCTAGGATTTGCCAATCTGAAGGTCGGCGGTTTGAATCCCCATGACGGGGTGAGCTCCCATTGCTCGGTCCCTGCTCCTGCCAGCCTAGCAGTTTGAAAGCACGTCAAAGTGCAAATAGATAAATAGGTACCGCTCCAGCGGAAAGGTAAACGGCGTTTCCGTGCGCTGCTCTGGTTCGGCTTAGTCATGTTGGCCACATGACCCGGAAGCTGTACGCCAGCTCCCTCGGCCAATAAAGCGAGCTGAGCGCTGCAACCCCAGAGTCGGCCATGACTGGACCTAATGGTCAGGGGTCCCTTTACCTTTTACCCAGATATGTAGAATGTTGACATGTGTTTTAATCTAGTCTTTAGCTTAACACTGATTTTAATTTTTTTGGGGGGTGGGAATGTTTTAAGTAACTGTTTTTAATTGTTCTTTTTCTACTGATAATTCATTGTTTTATTCTTTTTCTAAAATCCACTTGGAAGATTTCCATCTTTGCTTTTTTAAACAAAGCAGTATATACATTTTGTGAAATAAATAAACGGTTGAAAGCATCAGGGGGGCACCAGGTGGTTCTGTAGTATCATAAAACCCTGAAATCTTCGCACTAGTGACACCTAGGGTAAGGAGGACAGCTCTGAAGCCCCTGAGGGACACATTCCAAGGGCTTACCAGTTGCAGCATCATGGACACACTTTCCCATGTTGCTTCCTTAATATTGTCACCACCGTCCACAAGCCCTTGGTAGCCCTGAAACAAAGGTCAGAAGAGATTATTTAAAAAGAGAAGCCATTTTGAGCCTCCATCTGCTCTAGAGCTGGTTAACTCAAGAAGATAGAGACACCATAGCTGTGAGCTGCTGCTACAGCAAACTACAGTGGTACCTTGGGTTACATACACTTCAGGTTACATAAGCTTCAGGCTACAGGCTCCGATAACCCAGAAATATTACCTCAGGTTAAGAACTTTGCTTCAGGATGAGAACAGACATTGTGCTCTGGCGGCGCGGCAGCAGCGGGAGGTCCCATTAGCTAAAGTGGTGCTTCAGGTTAAGAACAGTTTCAGGTTAAGAACGGACCTCCGGAACGAATTAAGTACTTAACCCGAGGTACCACTGTATACTGAAGAAGGAACGTTAAGGACAAGATGCAGTTCAAGGACATTGCCAGGCTGGTGCATTGTTTGACCTCAGGATATTTCCAGCTCCTTTAGCCACTGTAGCAACACTGAACAGGAAGCACCTCAACAAACAAATAATAATAATAATAATAATAATAATAATAATAATAATAATAATATAATTTATTATTTACACCCCACCCATCTGGCTGGGCTTCCCCAGCCACTCTGGGCGGCTTCCAACAAAATTTTAAAATACGGTAATACATCAAACATTAAAAGCTTCCCTAAACAAGGCTGCCTTCAGATGTCTTCTAAAAATCTGGTAGTTGTTGTTCTCTTTGACATCTGGTGGGAGGGCGTTCCACAGGGCAGGTGCCACTACTGAGAAGGCCCTCTGCCTGGTTCCCTGTAACTTGGCTTCTTGCAGTGAGGGAACCGCCAGAAGGAAGAAGAAGAGTTTGGATTTGATATCCCGCTTTATACAGGCCCTCGGCGCTGGACCTCAGTGTCTGGGTAGAACGATGGGAGTGGAGACGCTCCTTGCATAGGGTCTGTCGGGCACCAGGGTAGCTGATCTGGTATTACCACTGCTATGCAACCTATGGCAACTCTAATAGTCCTGTTTGATCTAGCAGCAGCAATCAGCAGCATAGTTAACAAAATAATAAACCCATTTGCAGTAGGATGAGGTGGAAATGAGGTGGAAGAATGGACTATACCATTTGGGTCTGAAGATGGAGCATCGTATTTGTGAATACTCTCCAGCAGAAAAAGCTCACTGTGAGTAAGTGGAAACCTAGTACAGGTGGGAAGAGATGGAGCTTGAACGTTCCTCTCTGGTGTGCGCGCGTGCGTTTAGCTTGCAGGAATTTTACACAAGTGCAAGTTCAAAAATGGTTAAACTGCAGCCCCCTGAGGCTTCAAGTGGTGCAGCCCACTCTAGAAAACAGAGACATTCTATGCTTTAGAATGGGACGTGGGTGGTGCTGTGGGTTAAACCACAGAGCCTAGGATTTGCGGATCAGAAGGTTGGCGGTTCGAATCCCCGCGATGAGGTGAGCTGCCGTTGCTCGGTCTCTGCTCCTGCCAACCTAGCGGTTCGAAAGCACGTCAAAGTGCAAGTAGGTAAATAGGTACTGCTCTGGTGGGAAGGTAAATGGCGTTTCCGTGCGCTGCTCTGGTTCGCCAGAAGCGGCTTAGTCATGCTGGCCACATGACCCGGAAGCTGTACGCCGGCTCCCTCGGCCAACAAAGCGAGATGAGCGCCGCAACCCCAGAGTTGGCAACGACTGGACCTAATGGTCAGGGGTCCCTTTATGCTTTAGAATGGAATGTCCCTATTTTCATGCTGGATATGCTATCTCAGGATATTACACCTCATTCTGCTCCATGAGTCGACCAGGCCTTAGATACAATTCCTACTCAAGTAAAGAAAGGCGGCAAATTGACCTACCTCATGAACAAAGTACACTTTGGCCCCGGTGTATATTCCCACTCTGACCACTGCCCGGACAGCAGCATTCATACCTGTTCAGAGAGAAGGGAGAAAAGAGGTCACAATGCCGGTCCACAAGCAAACGGGATGACAGCATTGCAGAGGTAGACAATGGACCACAGCTCTTGTCATGCCTGGCAGGGGCTGATGGGAGTTGTAGTTCAACACCATTTTTGAGGGCACTACACTTTGCTAAGGGACGCAGGTGGCACTGTGGGTAAAACCTCAGTGCCTAGGACTTGCTGATCGCAAGGTCGGCGGTTTGAATCCCCGCGGCAGGGTGAGCTCCCGTCGTTCGGTCCCAGCTCCTGCCCACCTAGCAGTTCGAAAGCACCCCTAAGTGCAAGTAGATAAATAGGTACCGCTTTATAGCGGGAAGGTAAACAGCGTTTCCGTGTGCGGCACTGTTGCTGGCTCGCCAGTTGCAGTTTCGTCACGCTGGCCACGTGACCCGGAAGTGTCTTTGGACGGTGCCGGCTCCCGGCCTCTTGAGCGAGATGAGCACGCAACCCTAGAGTCGGTCACGACTGGCCCGTACGGGCAGGGGTACCTTTACCTTTACCTTTACACTTTGCTAATGTATTGTATAAACAACAATACATTACATATTCAGGTAGGTAGCCATGTTGGTCTGACGCAGTTGAAATACAGTGGTGCCTCGCAAGACGAAATTAATTCGTTCCGCAAGTCTCTTCGTCTTGCGGTTTTTTCGTCTTGCGATGCACGGTTTCCCATAGGAATGCATTGAAAATCAATTAATGCGTTCCTAGGGAAACCGCCTTCAGACCAGGTCCGGGGACAGTCTGTCCCCGGACCTCATCTGAAGGCTGCGGGGGGGACAAGGGCTTTTCTTCCCACCCCCAGCATTTTAAAAAACCCCGGGACAGCGAAGGACTTTTCCGCTGTCCGGGGCGATCTTAAAATGCTGGCGGGCGGCATTTTAAAATCACCCCGGACAGCGGAGGACTTCTCCGCTGTCCGGGGCGATTTAAAAGCCCCTGGGAAGGCAGGCAGGGGGGACAAATACTTTCGCCCCCTGCCCGCCTTCAGAAAGGTGTTCCCGCCCCCCGCCCCGCTTCGGAACAGCGTTCCGAAGTGGGGCGGCTGGGGCAGGTCTTCCTGCCCCCCCTCCCCGCTTCGGAACAGCGGGCTAAGCGGGACCTCCCGCCGGGCATGCGAGGCTTGCCGACATCTGCCTGAAGCAGGGGGCGGGCTCCGCAGCTCACCCCCTGCTTCGGGATGCAGGCTGCCGCCCCAAGCCTTGCGTGCAAGGCTTGCCGACATCTCCCCCAAGCAGGGGCCGATCTTAAAATGCTGGCGGGCGGCATTTTAAAATCGCCCCGGACAGCGGAGGACTTCTCCGCTGTCCGGGGCAATTTAAAAGCCCCTGGGAAGGCAGGCAGGGGGGACAAAGACTTTCGCCCCCTGCCCGCCTTCAGAAGGTGTTCCCGCCCCCCGCCCCGCTTCGGAACAGCGTTCCGAAGTGGGGCGGCTGGGGCAGGTCTTCCCGCCCCCCCTCCCCGCTTCGGAACAGCGTTCCGAAGTGGGGCGGCTGGGGCAGGTCTTCCCGCCCCCCCTTCGGAACAGCGTTTTAAAATGCTGGGGGTCGGGATCGAAGCGCTGCCGACCCCCAGCATTTTAAAACCTTCCCGGGACACGGGGATATTTTAAAATGCTGGGGGTCGGCAGCGAACGCTTCGCTCCCGCCTGCCAGCATTTTAAGATCGCCCGGGGCAGGCGGGGGGAAGGCAGGCGGGGGGGAGCAAAGACTTTTGCCCCCCGCCAGCCTTCAGAAGAGGTCCTCTTCTGAAGGCCGGCTGTGGGCAAAAGTCTTTGCTCCCGACCGCCAGCATTTCCCTATGGGCTTTCGTCTTGCGATGCAAGCCCATAGGGAAATTCGTCTTGCGAAGCGCCTCCAAAACAGAAAACCCTTTCGTCTTGCGGGTTTTCCGTCTTGCGAGGCATTCGTCTTGCGGGGTACCACTGTAAATAAAAAATTGTCCAGTAGCCCCTTAGAGACCAACTAAGTTTGTTCTGGGTACAAGCTTTTGTGTGCATGCATTTCGTATGCAGATACCGTATCTGAAGAAGTCATGCACACAAAAGCTTATACCCAGAACAAACTTAGTTGGTCTCTAAGGTGCTACTGGACAATTTTTTAAATAAATTACATACTTATCTGAGATGAAACCCAAGGAGATTCTAGGGGGCTCTGTCTTCTACTTTACAATCAGAGACACTGAAGGGAATCTGATTCTGTTCCAACCATATCTAGTTCTTACTGAATCACAGGAGAAGCCATGGGAAGATTAAGAAGACCCACTGGGGGCTTACGGGATTCAGAATATAAAGGAAACAGAAAAGACTAGTGTCTCACAGCTCTAATCTCCTCACAACTATGACAAGCACCCACATTGCTCAAGGTTTGGCACCAGATTAATACTTAGTTATATGCCCAGACATTGTAAGTTTCGTTAACGATTGTTCTAAGCTTCTCTGTTGTTTTCAGCTGTATTATTTGTTTGATGGTATATTTTAGAGTGCATTGCTGCTTATTTTTAGGGAATAAGCTTTTTAGGGAAGTTTTTAATGTTTAATGTTGTATTGTGTTTTTAATATTCGATTGGGAGCGGCCCAGAGTGGCTGGGGAAACTCAGACAGATAGGCAGGGTATGTATGTATGTATGTATGTATGTATGTATGTATATTTATATATAAAAATAAATAAAAAGCAAAGACATCACCTTGCCAACAAAGGTCCGTATAGTTAAAGCCATGGTTTTCCCAGTAGTGATGTATGGAAGTGAGAGCTGGACCATAAAGAAGGCTGATTGCCGAAGAATTGATGCTTTTGAATTATGGTGCTGGAGGAGACTCTTGAGAGTCCCATGGACTGCAAGAAGATCAAACCTATCCATTCTGAAGGAAATCAGCCCTGAGTGCTCACTGGAAGGACAGATCCTGAAGCTGAGGCTCCCAAACTTTGGCCACCTCATGAGAAGAGAAGACTCCCTGGAAAAGACCCTGATGTTGGGAAAGATGGAAGGCACAAGGCGAAGGGGATGACAGAGGACAAGATGGTTGGACTGTGTTTTTGAAGCTACCAGCATGAGTCTGACCAAACTGCGGGAGGCAGTGGAAGACAGGAGTGCCTGGCGTGCTCTGGTCCATGGGGTCACGAAGAGTCGGACACGACTAAATGACTAAACAACAACAACAAAACATCCCTAGATGGGGGTGCCTCTATTCTATAGAGCTCTGCCTTATTTTCCTGGCCTTGATGCTGCTGTGACATTCAATTTATAACCAGCCTACAACACTGATGTACAATTGTTGTGTTTCCTCATATATCTGTGCTGCCCACATAGAGGTACTGGTGATCTCCTGAAGAGGCCTATGCCGTCGCTTAAAATCTCCCTTGAGCAGACAGTCATTTTAATGATTGCTTTGTGTTGCTTTTAAATGATTTCATGCTTTTGTATGCTGCCCTGATTTTTGCAAGTGGATGGTCTAGAAATGCATTTGTATAAATGTATAAATAAATGTGGTAAGTGTGTGATGTGGAGCCTTTATTATAGCATCATCTGACCCTTAAACCCACTCTGCTGTCTCTCAGCCTTCTTGGTGTACGTGTTGTTTCTTACTGCCTCAGGTCAGTATTGTTGACCCAGACTCACAAGTCTCCCATGATCCTACCCTCAGATGATTTGCACATTTTATTTTTGACCCGCTGACATTTAAAACAAGTTCCTGAGGTACCCCCTCTGCCAGGCCACTGTGCTTGCTGGCTCCAAAGTATACCACACCAGGAGAGGGACTGTAATTCAATACCAGTGCATACCCCCCTCCCAATCCTCTCTAAATCATGTGACAGCTTCACAGATAAGCTGTGATCATGGATGCAGCTGAGGAAAACTTGGGCTACAAGAAGGCTAAGGTGGATGCCAAACCCCCAATGCTTTTAAACCTTTCTTCATATTATGATTATTATTATGCACAAGTACATATACCTCATTACCTACTCGGTCACATTCAAAAACACACATACCTATAAACATTTATAATAAACATATATCAATATTGATCTAAAACCATATCCTCTTTCTCCATGTGGGTTAAATCCTTAACAGCAACAAATGATTTTGCCCTGGATCTGTTACACTCAATTCTCTTTCAGCATAGATTATTGTTGCTGTGGTGTAATTGCCCATTTGCCAGCACAGCTGAAAAATATTTCATCAGTGAAGTGCTTTTTGACCCTTTTGAAACAGAAATCGCCATGCATCCCTTGGAATTTCTATGCTTCTATCTTTATTTTATTTCATCCTGTAAAGGTAAAGGTAAAGGTACCCCTGCCCGTTCGGGCCAGTCTTGACAGACTCTAGGGTTGTGCGCTCATCTTACTCTATAGGCCGGGAGCCAGCGCTGTCCGCAGACACTTCCGGGTCACGTGGCCAGCGTGACAACGCTGTATCTGGCGAGCCAGCGCAGCACACGGAAACGCCGTTTACCTTCCCGCTGGTAAGCGGTCCCTATTTATCTACTTGCACTTAGGGGTGCTTTCGAACTGCTAGGTTGGCAGGCGCTGGGACCGAACGACGGGAGCGCACCCCGCCGCGGGGATTCGAACCGCCGACCATGCGATCAGCAAGTCCTAGGCACTGAGGTTTTACCCACAGCGCCACCCGCGTCCCTATTTCATCCTGTAGTTATGTGCTATTTTCCTGTGTTTTAGATAATCTTTGAGAAATGCCCTGTCTTGTTAGTCTCTAGTGCTAGTTTCTAGTTTCAGACTCAGTCTCGTCTCTCCAAATCTCTTGACTTCTCATCAGCCTATTGAAAAAGGACCTATTTCCAAATGCTGATATCAAGGTGGTTCCGTCTTAAAGTTAGCTTCTACTTGTTCAATGGTCTGCACACTCTTCCAGTCCTAATAGATTTTCATCTTACTTTCTGTCTATATCTGAAAATGTCCAAATTGCCTTTTCAAAAAGTGAACCATTCGCCTTCTAATAGAGAAGCCAATAGGAAG